GTATAAATATGATAATTTTGTAACTTAAAATAATTTAAAAATTTTAAATAAACTAAATCAACTTTATATAACTACTCTCATTTAATTATTAATTAATAACATTTTTATTATGTATAGAGGACATATAATAGTACATATGAATATAGATTATTATTATAGTATAATGTATTAAGTATAAATGATACAATTATTAATAAAGAATTTTATTAATAAGGTATACTGAATATTTAAATAAAAATAAATTGTATGTTTAATTAAAATAATTATTAAAAATGTCCAAAATAGTTGTTTAAGACATTTATGATAAGAGTCACATTTGTTTTTGATTACTTGGCTCATTATAAATGATATTAATCCATATTGTTTCATAGTATAATGTTTTAAAATATTTACTACCTATACAATTTTCTTTTAAGACTTTTTTTTATTGATTCCTTAATTAAATAAGCATCTTATAATAAATCATAGAAATCTAATAAAAATTAATATAATAAATTAACTATATAATTGTATATAGTTAGCATCTGAAATATATTTTAGAATTGACTGAATTCATTTTATAAAATTGTGTTACATTTTATAGTGAAAATAGGTAGTTTAATAGTTTTATTAAAAGGAAATATTTATTTTTACAAATGTTTATAGCATTCATACCTGGAAAATTCTTTAATATCAATGAGAATGAGAAATTTTTAGCTACTGCTGGGTCACTCTAGTGACTTGATACACCACTGTTTGCCAAAGGCTATACCATCACATCAAGGACACTACACAGGAGCATTTCTAAAAATGTTATTGATCAATATTTGCTTTATATAGTGCATGGAGAATATAAAATAATTTAATGGTATTTCTTACCTTAGAAGGTATAACAAATATATATATTTTTTTGATTTTGAATGGAAGATAAAATTTAATATTTATATAAATTACCTTAAATTGCCACTATGCTGAAGATTTGACATTTTAGTCGTTGAAGAAGTAAAATTTTTAATAAAATAGAGGGTAGGATGTAAGTTCTGTCATACCATGTATGACGTTTCGGCCTTGTTCCTCTTCTACTGGCTAAAAGGTACATTTAGTCACTGACCTATAGAAGAGTCGCTATGAAAAATTGTTGGACAACAAGATTGACTGGCGAAGAAACAAATTGAAACGGTATTTGAAACATCACAGCAAAACAATCATACTATCAACGCCCACGAAAAAACAATAATTAACGGAAGAAATCACGTGATTAGGGACGTTGCGATACTAGCGATACCAATAAAGTATCGATACTTTTCTTTCCATACAAGTACTTTTTTTATCGATACTATGGTTTCGATATTTTACTCGTATAGATAAAAAAATACTGGTATTGAATGTATAGTATTGAATCATTTACTAACCGTCATATTGTTTCAAAAATCAAAGTACTCGAATGATAGGTATCGTACAATTGTTATGGGCATACATAGATGTAGGTCTTTACGACTTTTACTACATAGGTGGGACCACATAAATCGTAAATAGTAGAAATCGGGAAATGATTATAAATAATATAATATTCGCAATAATAGAAAGGAACTATTAGTTTAAAACAGAGGGTAACGCAAACACATATTATATATACCGTATGGTTACATTCCAAGGTGTAATATTAAGAATAACTATTATAAATAGGCATCAGTATGATATATTACGGAAATGTAGGTCTTTACGAGTTATATTGTAGAGAAGACAAATATTATGTAAAAAATATTAAAAACAACTATTATAGATAGGCATCAGTAGGATATGTGCAAAATGCGAAATTCACGAGGTCAACTGATTACATAGGTAATCTTGGGTTGGCGCACAAAATTCAAGTAGTATCAAACCAGAATGTCAAATGACAAGTGATTTAGCATTCACTAGATCCGGGTCAACTATGAGAAACGGGGTATATAAGGGAGCCCGAATAGACCAATATTCAAATGTGTTTAAGACGTGTTTTAGCGAGCACCTCCACGCCAGTTTATTTGTCAATTTAATTAATTAATTTGTACTTAGAAATATCTCAATAGACAGTAGTTTGAGTATTTTTATTTAGAATATTCCTAAATCATCACCATCTTTATGATTGAACGACGGCACGCAACACAATCATTATTTTCTAGTAAAATGGTTTGCACGCGTGGTGGAGAATTTGTTTACATATATCAGTCATCACACTATAGTCAATACTCTATACCAGCGTTTCCCAAACTGTGGTCCGCGAACCCTTAAGAGTTCACACGTATACCGGAGGGAGTTCGCGAACGAAAATTTAAAATATATAAAATATTATTATTTATTAATGTTTTTTAATTTTTATTTGTTCTAAGGGGTCCGCGATCATTTTTTATTATCTCTAAGTGGTCCAGCAGAAAAAAAATTTGGGAAACGCTGCTCTATATGATTATATTGTTATTTCCACAGACCATAAACCACAGTCCACAATCAGGGTCGTCCCATAGATGTAAATCAAGGGGGGGGTGAATAATATGTAAAATGCCGATTGTAAATTTTCAATTCAGTGTATGTAGTATAATTAACTATACTGTACTTCTCTATAAAATATATCATTACCTATTCTGTTGTAGATGATTTGTAATCGTAATTTGTAATGTTCAGCATATCTAGACTCCAGTGGCCCCATGATAGATACTTACCCACCCCTCTTTGGACCAGGAGTGGTTGCTCCTGATAGTCTTATAACAAGCCGCCCCTGCTCTCGATACACATTCATATCGGTTCTTTCGTTTCGATATTTTCATTCGATTCGGTACCAAGTAAAAGTATCGATACTTTTCTTTCGATATTTACTCATATCGGTATTTTCATTCGATTTGATACCAAGTGAAAGTATCTATACTTTTATTTCGATACCACATCCTTAGTTGTGGCATAGTCATGGCATTTATAGGAGAAAATTGGATACATGGGCGTGGATGGTCAAATCTACGAATTAGTATGATGAGAACGAGAATTGTTCCACCAAAAACGTTACCTGTATACGGCCAAAACGTGGTATTGGTCTATTGATCAAGTACTCGTATTCAAATGATAAATTCTTATTTCGTAGTTTCGTAGTATATTTCTGGGTTGGTATATTTCATATTGCAAGTTCTTCTTCTTCAGCTTTTATAGGCCATTAAGACCCATCACTGCTCCACACAGCCTCCTCCATCCCTCTCTGTCATTTGCCCATTCTTCCTGGTTCTCAATCCCAAGTATTTTGCAAGTACCAACGTGTTTTATTTTAGAGAGTGTCAACTGTGTCTGATCCTTCTGGCAAACGGATCCGTCACAATTTTCAAATGATCTTTTAACAATAATAATGACATTGATTTTACCCAATTCGTTTATATTATTTCTTAAAATCAATAATCAAATTTTACTACAAACTGAAAATTGTTTTTCAATTGAAATTTTTGTATGGTCTAATATACATTTTTATATGACTGTATTGGTTGTTTTGCCTAATGTTACATCCATTGGCACCATACCATTGTATAACAATTAGTAATTAATATAAGCTATAATACATTTTATGGAAAACCATATATTATTGAGAGAACCTTATCGGGGTTTTGTAGTTTTCTAAATATGAAACTCAATGTTTATACCACAATTTTTTTTTCTTACATCTTTTAAATAACTAAAAAATTTTAATATTTAATAATATTTTTTAATGTTTCAAAAATCACCGAATATTTGTTTGTCTCTCCTAAATATTGCTCTTTATAAATTTCATAATAAGTGATTTTACTCTAAAACCACTTTTTAATGCCATTTAATTTTTTTTTTTTTTTTTCGTAGACTTGTTTTTACCGCTGAAAATGACCAGTATGTATTTATATTCTTAAGCAATATGTATTTCAAATGACTTAAATAAAATATTCTCACTTCAGTAAAATTTATAAAATGTCACTCAAGACTGTTGTCTGTTTTAGATATTACGATAGATTTAACATAAAATGCAGAATATTATAATGGTAGTAAAAGTACATTCCTTATTTCCTCTTTAACACGCCTATACTTTTTTCCAAAATTGATTTGGCTGATTTCTAAAAAATGTTTAGTCTTGTTAGCGTTTAAGAAATGTATCTTATTATTTTTTATGTTAGGAGATTAGACACATCCTGAGTTTTTAAGTTTGAAGTATCCACTTAATATTTACGTTTATTCAACACTCAACTGAGTTTTGTAATAGTTTCAAACGAATTATTAAAACAATGATTAAAAAGGTAATGATAATCAGATACCCCAGAAATTTGATGATAACTTGTCTGGGAAGGTGTTAAATAATCGGCACCTATAAGTTATTATTGATGTGCCACACATAAAGATGTATTTATTTATAAAAATTATTTTGTTTAATTTATTTATATAAAGTTAGATACATGACTATGATTTTTAAAATGAAAAATCTTAAAAAAATATTAAATTAATCATTATTTAATAATTTTGAAGATGAAAAACATATCTTTAAATGTCTCGACTATTTGTTTAAATTCTCGCCAAAATGTTCTCCTACTGGCACCTAACCTATATAGGTATCTAAATCTACTATCCAGCTCTAATTTGCACTACAGATAAAGGATAGATATGTTATGAGTGCCGTTGAAGTATATGTTTTAATAAAAGTTTTTAATGTTTTCTGGTCGCAAGTTTTAGATTGATAAACATACTATACAAACCCAATGGAGATAACGCATGAACAAAACTATAGTAAGACTTATATTTACCTACTCATTTATGCGCAATATAATATAATCATAATACGCTTTCTACGACTAAACACATTTTTTAATTTTTTTACACCTATGTAACTATATATATATATATTAACTATTATCCGTCATTTATCTATCTATGCTAATCGTATTTTCTATATTATCAAGAATGTATGGAATATAAATTTTTAAATTTATGTTTACTTCTTCTGATATATGTTAACTTCTAATGACATACAATTTAGTTGGTAATTGTATCTTGTAGCGAAAACACCGCACGTTTAGAGAACATCATAAATGAAAATAAAATTTAACTCGACTGATGAATACAGTATAGTGGATATAAATAGGTAACTAGCCTTATAATTATTATTTATATTATTATCAACTAAAACTAATTCAGTCGAAATATATCAGTCATTATAATGACATATATACTAATTATTTTAATTTTTTTCTTAGAATTCTGTTGCCAAATTTGTAGCGTACTTTACTGATCACTCGAGAAAAAAATGTTTTGTAGTCAATCTTCATTTTTGTCTCGTTCATCGAATTCTCAAAACAATGAAAATATAATCAGACCATTATTGAGGTATTTTTTATTGTACATACACATTTACGACTTACAACTAGACACTATTACAGTAGAGGAGTGCGAAAAAAAAAATTTTTGGTTAAGCAATTGACAGTAAACTCTCATATTTAAATTTTATTAAACGATTTATTTAATACTTTTGTTTAGATATTACGTACCTAGATAGTTATATAAATAGAACTAATTCTATAAGAAAATTTAGGTTTTTTGAGATTACTCGGATTAAATAAGAACCTACATTAATGTTTTAGACTTAAACTAACAATTCTTAACACAGGAATAAAGAATTTATGTTATTATTTATAACAAATTAATTTGTATAAGATATTATTTATTATTAGTCTTTGTTATGTAAAAACCATTTGTTGATAATAAGTATAAAATATTCAATACTTATGTTACTGGAACCTCCATTCCAAATCACTTTTCAGATAATTTTACAAATACGGTAAATCCGTGTGATAAGCCAAATTCAAATTACGCCCAACTTTTTATAGCCTATTGCCAAATACCTTATTTCATTCATATCTATTTTCATTAAATTGCCTATACAGAACTCCTTATACATAATATTTTTTAATGATATTTTTTATAATACAGTATATTATGCACTATGTCTAACACAAATTAATAATGCAACATTTATCTTCATTAAATTGTATTAAAGGAGGCGAGAATAATAGATAAGTGCAAATAATTAAATAATAGTTAAAATCCGCTTTATATTTTAATTACATATAATAAAAATACATGCACATGATGGAGAAATTTTAATTCTTCGATTTCTTAATTTATTGTCAAAATTGACCAACTAGAAATTATATTACAATTTACATACTATTTCCTATTACATTTTTGCTTTGTTATAATGCTGCAATAATATACTACATTCGTATTTTTAGTGTTCACAAAACGATGTCATGTCTAAAGGTGAAATCGTCCATTAAAAAGAAATATAAGAAAACTTTTAAGTCAAAATGTGTTCTCAAGAATTTCGACGAACCACATGTTGGCCATATGTAAGTCGTGATTTTTTTATGTATTTTCATACAATTTTGCCCGAAAAGGTAATGTCCCTCCTGTATAATAGTTATATTTTATATCCTGCATACCTACCTAAATATAAATAAATATTTATTTATATATATATATATATATATATATATATATATACATACATGTATTTCAAATAAATACTGATCATATTATTCATCTTGTTCATCGGGTATTTGAAAAGAAGTTTATCGTTTAAAATATTTTTATAACCATAAAATGCTGAAAATGTTTTAGGGAAGTGAATAGCAAATGATAATTAAGCCACTGCAGTGTAAGTGATCTTTATTTTTATGCCATTATGGTAACTGGTGAAGAGCGACGCCCACTAAATTAATTCTCTCTTAATAACGACTCCTTAATAAATGAGAAATAAATTGCTTTGACTAATACGTTTTAGATACAATTATAAATGTTGTGCGAAGTGGGGAATGTAATTTATATTCACAGTGATAGCTTTTTTAAATGTACGGCAGAAAGTTAAAATACCTATTTAATATTTATTACTTTTGCCAAAAAACAGCACACTTTCAGTTATTCTGCGCTCAAAACTCAAATGCTCGCAGATATTAAAAAAATGGTAAGAAAAATGAAGAACCTAGTTTTCATTATCAAAGTTAGTAACGAGATGTTACAGAGAGATAACAAAATAAGTGTTATATACTTCATGTGAAACGACCGGCTTTTATCAATTTAAAATCAAAATAAATAGTATTGTTTTTGAAGTTACAAAAAAGTGACGGAATTGCATAATTAATACCTTAAACCTTTATATTAATTTTAATTTTACTAGTAAATATTATATTAGTTTTAAATTAATAAATGTATTTATATATGTATATTATTTAATAAAGAAAATCATAAATTGAAGAAATAAGCTGATTGTAAGATCATTTATTTTAAACATAATCATAAAATATATTGAAAGTTGTCAAAGGATTTCTAACTGTAGTGTCTTAAATAATGTTCTAAAAATTAATATGTATTTATAAATTATAAAATAAACATATATTTGGACAAAAAATAAATAAACTCATGGTAAAAATATTGATGTATTTTTATTGAGAGAAATTCTAGTAAACTATGAAATATGTTTTTTTCAAGAGAGATCAAAACAAATAAATAATCTTGTCATCTGAATATAAAATATATTATTATAACATTATTAATAAGTCTTATTTTATTAAATTTTTCATTATTTAAATTTGTGATAATTTTTAAGTCAAATACTTCAGTTAATTTAAGTATCATTAATGAATTCATGTTACCTTTTATTAATAATTTATTTATTCACTTACATTTGGATTGAGTTTAATAATTTTATATTTTCAGTCTGAAAAATGAAGTTGAATTGTCTTGACCTTTTATTTATAGTTTGTAGTTTATTCTAGTTAGTTACTCTTTATAAATTATATTCGTTCTTTTGGTTTTTAATGTTTTTGAATAAATAATTTGTACCTATATTTAATATATCAAATTAATTTTAATTTTATTAATTTAATACTTAAATTTCAGAACCAAAATAATGTCTTCTGAACACATGCAACATTTTGTATCGCGACTCAAGTCTAAAAATTTTGAAATCCGTAAACGTGCTGCTCGAGACCTGAATCTCTATGTAATTATCATTAACTTAACATTTCTTTGAATTATTATTTATTATTTTTTATCAAGGTTAAAACTGAACTTCGTGAAGTATCAGCAGATGAACGAACAATTTTTAATGATGATTTTAACCAACATATATTTGAAATGGTATCAAGTTCTGACAGCAATGAAAAAATTGGTGGCATACTTGCTATATGTAAGTATCTTATAAATATTAACTAATTTAAGATATTTGTATTGAAATAACTATTTTTCAAATTAAAATCATCTGAAGTTAATTTATGGGTATTTAGTAACTAAATAAGTATTTATTTTATTTATTTATTTGAATAAACATCCATGAGGGCTCCAGTAAAGTAAGGTATTAATATATAACAAAATATATAATTAACTATAAATAAACTAAATAATTTATCTTTTAAAATAATTATTTAACTATGGGTACACTCGATTTTTAAACTATGTATATTTTTTTTATTCATAGCATTATTAGACTTGGAAATATAAGTTTAAGGTATATTCATAATTAATTATAAATAAATAAATGTAAAATATTTATTTTTTATTTTATTTTTCAAATTCAAAATTTAATTCCTGCAATTATTCATTCTTATTTGTTATTTTATTTTATTTAAATTATTTATACATATTATTACAGTTATTATTATTATTAGTTCATTACTATTGTATATATTTCAATTGTGGTTTCCTCCATAATATTTACCTTTTACATAGGCTTTTTATATTACTCAAAGAAATCCATTATGTCTCAGTACAAAAATATTTTCAATTGTTAGAAAATAATTATTACAAACTAATTATAGGATTAGCATTTTATTTTTTTCAAATTGCTAAGTATATGTTGAATTTATACACTGTAAAATATTTGTATTTTAATTTATAATCACTACATAGTAATATATTTAAATTTTAAATTTTAAATGTTTCTTAGATTAAATAATTGTGTGCATAATAAATTATATTTTTGAGTATTGTTTTGATAAATAACTTTTGATTTATTTAATTGTTATACTTACTGGTATTTAGTTATAAATAAAACATTCTAGTAAAAAATTCTGTGAGTAGAATACTGTAAAAAAGGAGATACATAAATCTTGATTATAACTATTTTTTTGTACAGTCAAATTTGAAAAATTTGAAGATTGTTCAAACTATGATTTAAATTTAAAGAATAGACAATATAAATTTGATATAAAAAATTAAGGCTAGGATATATTTATTTTTAATTTCTCTTTCCAATCAAAATATTTGAATCTAATTCTTTGATTTAAGTTTTGCTCAAAATATTTCATGTTACATTTATAACTCAACATACTCTAAAATATGAAGTAAAAATAAATTATTATATATTTTATATAAAAATAACTAAATACTATGGTGATATCTACTGATAAATATTTTCTTTCTTGATGACATGATTTAATTAACTGTTTACAGTGTGTTTAATTGGTGCTGATGTTGGCAATAAAAATAATCGGATTAGTAGATTTGCTAACTATCTACGTAATTTATTGCCTTCTGCGGATTCGGCAGTAATGGAACTAGCTGCCAAAACAGTTGGTAAATTAGCCTTAGACTCTGGTACCTATGCAGATCAGTATGTTGAATTTGAAGTGAAGAGAGCATTTGAGTGGTTAGGTGGTGTACGAAATGAGTCTAAGAGATATGCAGCAGTAAGTAATTATTACACTATCACTTTTATTTGTTATGTTGTAATTCATATTTTTATAGGTACTTATACTTAGAGAAATTGCTACTATGGTTCCCACTCTTTTTTTTCAACATGCTGCTCAATTTTTTGACTTAGTGCTAAATGTTACACGTGACCCGAAACCTAATATTCGTGAAGGAGCTGTAGAAGCATTAAGAGCTGCACTTGTTGTAACTGCTCAAAGAGAAACATCAAAACAAACATTAAAATCACAATGGTACCATTGAATAAAACAATATAGTACAATTATATAATGTTAAACTACAGATTTATCTTTAAATTTTTTTTTTTTTCAGGTATAAACAGTGTTATGAAGAAGTTATGAATGGTATAGATGAGGCATTGAATAAAGAAAAAAGCACTGCTCGTGAAGATAGAATACATGGTGCATTATTAGTATTGAATGAATTGCTAAGAGTTAGTAACATTAATTGGGAAAGACAAAATGACTCGTTAATGCAAAGATTGCAATGGGATCAAAATCAGACTAGTGCGGTTAGATATAAATATATTAAATACAATAAATATTTTTAATTTTTATCCTTTTTCATGAGTTACTTTACTAAGGATTTAACTATGTTTATTAAATATCATATTCATTGTATTATAATTTTCTGTGATTAAAAATAGTGATAATATAAATATTTGATTTAAAACTAAACCTTATTTAAAAATGTCATAATTTTATTTTTATTATCGAATATTAAATAATAATTGATTTTATAAATACTTAAATATATATTATTTATTTATATTACATTATACAATTTTTAGGAAATATTGAGTTTACTACCTCGAACCAAATCTGCTTTAAAAGGACTAGTAGGCGGTTCTGGACGTACAGATGATGATTCTGTAAGAATTGCATCATCAGGTATTCGATTCGAAAGCAGTGCCTGCAAGAATCTCCTCCAAGAACACTTTCATCGAGTGTGTTTATCAGCAATAAATCACAGAACATCTAAAAGTGTTTTAGTTACTTCAGCACTAATAAAATTACTCCCTAGACTAGCTGCCTTCAATAAATCAATTTTTGTTCAAAAGTATTATCAAAATGTATTGAGATATTTATTTATATTTTCTTAAAAACATTTTTTTTTTTTTTTAGTCATTTAAGTACTTCAATGTTATTTCTTCTTTCAACCATCCGTATACGTGATCGTGATCAACGAACTACTGCTTTTGTTGCTATTGGTTTAGTGGCAATAGCTATTGAAGATCATACTAAACCGTATTTGACCAGAATTTTAGATGCAATACGAAGTTATTTACCATCTAAAGTATTATTTTAAATATTCTTCTTGATAAAAAGACTAAGATTTGTATTCACTTTTTTTTTTTGTTATTTGTTTTTGTAGGATGGTTCAAAAAAAAAACCTGCCTGTGCTGAACCAGCTGTATATGTTTGTATAACATTACTTGGTATTGCAGCGAAAAATAATATTAAGGCTGATCTTAAAGAACTTCTTGAACCCATGTTGGCAATGGGATTAAGTCCTACACTTACCATAGCTTTAAAAGAATTGGCAGTAGCTGTACCTGCATTAAAAAAAGACATATCAGAAGGTAAGGAAGAAAATTAATTATATATTTTTTTCTGATTTACTTAAAGAGTATTTTATTTTAGGATTATTGAGAATGCTTTCCCAAGTACTTAACAATCGTAGTGGTTCAATAGCGACACCATTATCTCTCACAAGTTCTGCTCTTAGTATATCATTGTTGCCTTCATCTCTTGAACCACAAAATGTTTCAAATGTTGTTTTGGCTCTTAGAACACTTGGAAGCTTCAATTTTGAAGGTGAACATTTATAAATATTACATAATACATGTTTTTTTAAGGCTAGGGAAAGTCAGCTTTATTTATTGTGTATATAATTTTAAATTTTGTTGAGAGTTGGCTGTAAATTGTTATAGGTCATTCTTTATTGCAATTTTTGCGTCGTTGTGCTGAACATTATTTAAGCAGTGAACAACAAGAAGTTCGAATTGAGTCTGTTAGAACTTGTAGTCGTTTATTGCGTTTGGCAATTGAGTCACCACAAAGTAAAACATCACATACAGTAAGATATACTATTTCTACAGTCATTAAGCAAATACTTGTTGTTGGTGTTTCTGATACAGGTTTGTAAATATTATTTATTTATAGTTTTACATATTTATATGTTTTTATTGATTGACTGAAAAAATGTATTATTATAAACAATTTATATTATTATTTATACATTTTAGGAATATTTTCCTTGCAAGTTTGAATTTTAAAATATTAATAAAACTATAGAAAATAATTTTCATTGTTTTTCAATTTAAAAATTTCTTTGATTATCAATTAGTTTTGTTTATCAATAATTTAATTATCATTGATTGTTATTAATACAAAGTACTGATCACAACATTTATTATTTGGAATAGAATATTATTTTGAAATTACAAATAATTGCATGTTCCAAATCAGGGATGTGCCTGGGGGGGGGGAGGTGCGAAATGTTATTATCTACATATTTTATTCTACTTATTATTATCGTATGGGTTCTACTTAAACAGTTTGAGTTATATTACTTATATTGTTTTTTAATTTTTGTTTATTTATTTTATTAATTTAATAAATACAAACTTAGTTGTTATTAACTCCCTATTCTTATGTAGTCTCTTTGTAGTATGTAGATGTAAAAATATTGATATTGGGGTAGGAGCACTAAAAATGATTCTTAGCCCCGGGTACTAATCATGTTAGGCATGGCATTGTTCCAAATATATGTAAAAAAACTTACAATATTGGTCTATTCTACTTATAATATTAGATCCGGATGTACGTTTTGTGGTGTTTGAAAACCTCGATCGCAGTTTTGACTTCTATTTAGCTCAAGTACACAATCTCACTGCATTATTCATGGCTATGAATGATGTAAATTTTGAAATACGAGAAATGGCTCTCTGTACTATAGGGCGATTAAGTTTGGTAAATCCAGCTTATGTTATGCCACCTCTGCGCAAAACATTGATGCAGGTTAGTTTAATGAAGTAATAAATATTTTTTAATACTTGAATAATACATTTTGTTTTTAGTGTTTAACCGAACTTGAACACAGCGGAATGGGTCGTAATAAAGAACAAAGTGCTAGAATGATTGACCACATGGCTGTTCATGCTCCACGTCTTGTATCTCCATATGTGCAACCGGTTTTAAAAATATTAGTACCTAAACTTAACGAACCAGATTTAAACCCAAGTATTTTAATAAGTATACTAGCATGTATTGGAGATTTAGCTCAAGTATGTTTAAAAGTGTTATAACATTTTTTTTTTTTTTTAGAATATACAATCTTATATTTATGTGTTATATTTTTGATAGGTCAATGGGGAAGAAATGTGTTGTTGGACTGATCAACTGTTACCCATTTTATTAGACATGCTGGGTGATGGCGGATCGCAAGAAAAACGAGGAGTTGCTCTCTGGGTTCTTGGAAAATTAGTTGAAGGACTTGGCTATGTTATTCAACCATATGAAAAACACCCAACATTGTTAGATACATTACTTGGGTTTTTAAAAACTGAACAGCAACCACTAGTCAGGTGCTGTTATTTATTTTATAAAATTATTTAAATTTATTAACTATTTAACTAATATAATTGCTTTATTTTTTATTTAGGAGAGAAACAATAAGAGTGCTGGGGCTTCTTGGAGCCTTAGATCCTTATAAACATAAAATGAACTTAGGACAAATTGATTCTCAAATTGAGTCTACTGCATTGCTTTCAATGACTGATTCTCGTCCTATATCTGAAACTGAATGGACCACGAGTGAAATGTTAGTAAATATGAGCACAGCTACATTAGAGGAATATTATCCAGCAGTAGCTATTGCAACATTGATACGTATAATTCGTGATCCAAATTTATTCCAACATCACACTATGGTTGTACAGGTCAGTAAAAATGAATATTTGTATACAATATATACTTGTTGGAAATTTCTAATTCATATCAAAGAATTGATGTGAAATTGTTTATTAATTAATTTACTAAAGCTTTTTAAATACTATAACATTGTTTATACTCATCAGTAATCATGACTTAATACTAAAAAATTAAGAAGTGATTAATTAGTCAATTTAATTTTTTTCATTATAATTAATTATATCTCATATTTTGTTTAGGCAATCACTTTTATCTTTCAATCTTTGGGTATAAAATGTGTACCATACATACCACAAGTAATGCCTAGTTTTTTAAACGTAATTCGTACCGCAGATGCAAACTTCAGAGAATATCTATTTCAACAATTAGGCGTACTTATTAATATTGTTGGTCAACATGTCCGAAACTATTTAGATGATATATTTTTGTTGATTAAAGTGAGTATTCTTAACTTTAGTAATGAATAAATATTACACTGTGTAAATCTTTTCTAGGAATTATGGACTCCAAACAGTCCACTTCAATGTACATTAATCCAGCTTGTGGAGTATATAGTTGTGGCTCTTGGAGCACAATTTAAAACTTACTTATCTCAATTGATGCCTAATATACTCAGAATACTTTATCATGATTCTAGTAAAAACCGCAATGTTACAAAGAGGGTATGTTTTGTAAAATCTTATTCAATTTACTATTGATACTTTAATATACAGATAAGAATTAAGATTTTTGTTTAATAAAAAAATTCAGTTGCAAACATTTTGTAAAAAACTTTTCCAAAAAAAAGACACTTTATTTAAAATAAATTTTTCTTATTTTTCTTAATTTTATATTCAACAAGGTCATGAATTTAATTGTGTATAATAAAATTAAGGAATTTTGAGTTATATTAAATTATGTTAAACAGATAATTATACTATTTATCAGACATTAATATTTTCTACATGACTATCATTAAAACCAATAGTTATCTTTGATTGCAATAGTGATAATTAGTAATTGTATTTACTAAGTTTTTTGGATTTTGAATATGGAGTTATATTAGTTATTAAAATGTGCTCGACAAGAATGTTTCCTCTATTAAAAAATTTGATATATTACTTCAAAAAATGATTTTATTAAAAAAAATTTTTATTAAAAATTAATATTTTCTATTTCATCATGTAAATAAATACTAGAAAATCATGTTAACTTTTATCAGTCATAATAATAATCGTGATTGATGGTAAACAATATCATTTATATCATTCATATATATTGTATAATATTATATATAGGTATATAGTATATACACATTACACATAATATTTACATTGTTAATATTATTTATTAGATCTTGAAATAAATTGGCAATTATAATATATAAGTTAATTTTACATTTTTAGATGGTAGTAGCTTTATGTAAATTTGGTATTAATTTGGATGAATATTTACATATGATTATGCCACCACTTGTAAATTTATTTGATGCAACCGTTCACCCTACTCAAGTGAGTCAGGTTGCTATGGAAACAGTTGCTCAATTAGCCTATACATTGGATTTCACAGACTATGCTTCACGCATAATACATGGAGTTGTAAGAATATTTTTACAGTTATAACTAATATTATCATATCAGCCATACCTAATAAGAGAACTGTTTATTTTTAGGTGAATTCAATCGAAAATACTTCAGAACTTAGGAAAACTGCTATGGAAACTTTATGTGCATTAATATGCCAACTGGGTCGCAAATATATGATTTTCATGCCACTTGTTACACGTACATTAACTAAATGCCAATTTAGTTATCCCTCTTATGACACACTTATCACTTATATATCATCGGTTAGTGGATAAAATTAATATTTAAAAAAATACAAATTATAAATTGTATTACTTTTCCCTAGAACAATGATGGAAGTTTAGAAGAAAATCTTCTGCTCTCTAGACATAAGCAGTTTAAAAGTAAAAAAGAAGTTGGAGTACATGTTGTTGCCGACTCTGCTACTATAATAAAAAAAGTATTTTAATGGTTTAACTTTTATTAACTTGTATTTTATTAGTAATAGTAAAATAGTAATTTCATTACAAGTAATTTCGTATCTAGATTGTATGTGGTGATAGTTTGTACTTAATGCATTTTTATACTCTTTTTATAGATGCATACATCATTACCAAATTTACAAAAAGCATGGTTAGCCAACCGCTGTGTATCTAAAGATGATTGGCTAGAATGGTTAAGACGACTTGGTATTGATTTTCTGAAAGAATCACCATCACCAGCTTTGCGATCATGCTGGGCACTTGCTCAAACATATTCTCAGTTGCCTAAAGATCTATTTAATGCTGCATTTGTAAGTTGTTGGACGGAATTAACAGAACCACTGCGAAAAGAGCTTATACATACTTTAGAACAAGCATTGATGGTATCTGATCTTCCTGAAATGACGCAAACTATATTAAACTTAGCTGAATTCATGGATCATTGTGAAAAGGGACCATTGCCTATTGACACTCATATACTTGGCGAAAGGGCAATGGACTGTAGGGCATATGCTAAAGCATTGCACTACAAAGAAGATGAATTTATCAAAGAAAAAAATAGTCAAATATGTCCAAATATTATTGAGTCTTTAATATCTATTAACAACAAACTACAACAAAAAGAAGCAGCATCAGGTAATTTAAATATTACAATATCAAATACTTAATAATTAAATAATTATTACTATATAAACTAGGACTTTTGGAAGTAGTTATGAGTAAACGAGAAGAAGATCAGGAACCTGGTGAGCAGTTAAAAGTACAAGCAAGGTGGTATGAGAAATTACATAATTGGGAACAAGCTTTATCTTTTTATGAGGGTTTTTTACAAAAAGAACCACATGATGTTGAATGGTCATTAGGGGAAATGAGGTAGATTACATAAATAAATTATGATATTATCTGTTAATATAAAATACATTTTTTTAATATTAGATGCTTAGAATCATTGGGTCAATGGGGAAAATTAAATAACGTGGCTGCTTCTCATTGGTCACATTTTCCTGAAAGTGGACGTGAAAAAATGTCAAGAGTTGCTGCAGCTGCAGCCTGGGGACTAAAACAGTGGCAACAAATGACAGTTTACGTGGAATGCATACCAAGAGATACCATGGATGGAGCCTTTTATAGGGCAGTTTTATCTATTCACGGTGAACAGTATGAACATGCTCAGAAGGTATAATGCATAGTTTATTGTGTTTACTTTGCTATTAAATTGGACCCGTATTTAAAAATTTGGGACCCCCTTGCATATGATTTGGTACTCCAAAAAAAATAATAATAATAAACACTTATTAATTCGTCCATTATCAAGATTCTTTAATATTAAAATATAATTTATAAATGAAAATCATTTAATACTTTTTTTAATAAATAAATTATAACATAATAAAATATACAATTTTTTTTTTTTAATTTACAAATTATAACATAATAAAACATACTATTTTATTTTTTTTTCATTAGGTACATCAATTTTAAAATTAATTTTGCTAAAATATTTTGCCGTCCCTGAGACTTAACGCCCTCGGGCATGAGCCTACCCTACCCGTGCCCCCTAAATACAGGCCTGTATTTAATTTATTATGTTATTTCATGAGGATAGTTTATTGATTTGGCTCGAGAAATTTTGGACACTGAACTTACATCAGCTGCTGCAGAGAGTTATCAAAGAGCTTATGGAGCCATGGTCTCTGTACAAATGTTAGCTGAACTTGAAGAAGTCATTCAATATAAATTGAAACCAGAAAAACGGCCAATAATTTACAAAGTCTGGTGGGACAGACTTCAAGTAATTTATTATTATGATTTTATAATTTATAATCTATAACTATAATCCATTATAATTTTAAAATGGTCTAGGGATGTCAAAGAGTTGTTGAAGACTGGCAGCGTATAATTCAAGTTCATTCGTTAGTCTTGAGTCCTGAGGAAGATATGCATACATGGCTTAAATATGCTGCTTTATGTCGTAAATCATCACGATTGGTAAGTATTTTAAGCTTTAATATATTGTATTTATAATTATAAAAAAATTAATTTTTTATTAATGTAAGTTAAATTATGAAAATGTCTATAGGTTTTGTCTCATAAAACTCTTACAACATTATTGGGCACAGATCCTTCAAAAAATCCTACAGAACCTTTACCCATGACTCATCCTCATGTTACATTTGCCTATACTAAACATATGTGGACTTCTGGAGCTAAATCAGAAGCTTATAAGTAAATAATTTTAATTTTAATTTCTAGTAAATATGTGATAATTATGTTTTTTTTTTTAGTCATTTAAACAATTTGATTCAAAATGTATTACCACAGTTGAAACGGAAAGGAAAAGATAATGAAAAACTTAGAAATGACTCTACTAAAAAATTGTTAGCTAGGTATATCAATCATTTTATTTTTTGAAATATTTAAATTTAAATTAAGTGTTTTTTCTAAATTATAAGTATAAATTATTATTTTGTTTCGTAGATGTTACTTAAAGCTGGGATACTGGCAAGAAGAGCTTCAAGGGTTGACAGAATTATCGATTCCTGATGTTTTAGAATATTATGCTGCAGCAACATTTCATGATCCTAGTTGGTATAAAGCATGGCATTCATGGGCCTATATGAATTTTGAAACTGTATTATTCTATAAACATCAACAAAATAAATCGCAATCTAACGAACAAACCACTGAAAAAGGAATAATTGATAAACCTAGTTCTGAGGTAATTAGATTATTTTTTTCACATTAAATGTATTGATATTTTGCAAAAAATATAATTATATATATATATATATATATATATATAATGTAAATATAAAATATAAATTTAAACATAAATTTTATAGTTGGAAGTTAACTTCTTTAAATTAGTAATAATAGTAAAGAAATATTAGTGTAAAATCATTATTTATATTTTATATACTTATTAAGTTATTTTTGTAATACTTATATAAATCAGCATTATATAATACATTACATTTGTATTTAATAGTTATTCTATAATTTTTTTTTTATTAGATGGCTAAATCCAACCAATATATTCCACATTATACCGTACCTGCTGTTGAAGGATTTTTTAGATCAATTTCACTATCTCATGGTAGTTCATTACAAGATACATTGAGACTTTTAACACTTTGGTTTGAATATGGGCAAAATCATGATGTGTATGATGCTCTTGTTGATGGATTAAGATCTAGTCAAATAAATACATGGCTTCAAGTAATTATTTTTAAAATTGAAATGTTAATAGGTTTGCATTAAAAATGTCTCTGAATTTTTAAGGTGATTCCACAACTGATTGCTCGCATTGATACACCTCGTACACTAGTCAGTCGTTTAATTCATCATTTGCTAATTGATATTGGGAAACACCATCCACAAGCTTTAGTCTATCCATTAACTGTGGCTAATAAATCTGCCAGTGTTGCACGTAGAAATGCTGCAAACAAAATATTAAAAACTATGTATGAACATAGTCCAAATCTGGTGCAACAAGCGGTTATGGTAAGCGATGAACTACTGAGGGTTGCTATACTTTGGCATGAATTGTGGCATGAAGCATTAGAGGAAGCTAGTAGATTGTATTTTGGTGAAAATAATGTAAAAGGAATGTTTGAAGTCTTAGAACCATTACATGCCATGTTGGAAAAAGGGCCTCAGACTCTGAAAGAAACTTCATTTAATCAAGTATGTATTTAAAACTATGTTAAGTGATAAAAAAATATACAGTTTAAAAATAATTTTTGTTGAAACTATTTATTGTTTTGTTTAGACATATGGCCGAGATTTAGTGGAGGCTTTAGATTGGTGTAACCGTTATCTGACTTCTGGCAATAATCGTGACTTAAATCAAGCTTGGGATTTATATTATCATGTTTTCCGTCGAATATCAAGACAATTACCTCAACTTACAACTTTAGAACTTCAATATGTCAGCCCAAAATTACAACAGAGTCGAAATATGGAACTTGCAGTTCCTGGTTCATATATACCTGGTCAACCTGTTGTTAGAATTGCATATATTACAAGTTCATTACAAGTCATTTCTTCTAAGCAACGGCCTCGCAAGTTAACTATTAAGGGTAGCGATGGAAATGATTATGTGTTCCTATTAAAAGGGCATGAAGATCTTAGACAAGATGAACGAGTTATGCAGCTTTTTGGTCTAGTTAACACACTGTTATTAAATGACCCTGATACATTTAGACGAAATTTAACCATTCAGGTGTGTATCATTTTCCTTCACTTCTTCAAACAAAATTTGAAAATGTTAATGATTATTAATTTTTATTATTTTTAGCGTTATGCTGTTATACCTTTATCTACAAATTCCGGTCTTATTGGTTGGGTACCTCATTGTGACACATTGCATACTCTTATTCGTGACTACAGAGACAAGAAGAAAATATTATTGAATATAGAACACAGAATCATGTTGAGGGTATGAAAATTCCATATTTATCAATTTATGTTTAGCATTTTAATATTTCCATCTATCTTACATAATTCTATTGTTTTTTTTTTTTTTTTTTTTTTAGATGGCACCGAACTATGATCATTTAACATTAATGCAAAAAGTTGAAGTATTTGAACATGCTTTGGCCAACACTCAAGGTGATGATTTAGCTAGATTACTTTGGCTTAAGTCTCCATCATCTGAAGTTTGGTTTGATCGTAGGACTAATTATACTAGATCATTAGCTGTTATGTCCATGGTTGGCTATATACTTGGTTTAGGAGACAGGTAAGTTTTGTTTAATGAATAATTTTTTAGTTAGATTTTCTAAGTGTGCACTTTTTTTGCTAATATAATGTATTTTAATCAATAGACATCCTTCAAATTTGATGTTGGACCGTTTAAGTGGCAAAATATTACATATTGATTTTGGTGATTGTTTTGAAGTGGCCATGACCCGTGAAAAGTTTCCAGAAAAAATCCCATTTAGACTTACTAGAATGCTTATTAATGCTATGGAAGTAAGCATGACTTTTTGATTACTATTTGTTTGGTTTTATTCATTGCTTATTATTTTACAGGTAACTGGTATTGAAGGAACATATCGTAGTACCTGTGAAAGTGTTATGACTGTTTTAAGAAATAACAAAGATAGCTTGATGGCTGTATTAGAAGCTTTTGTGTATGACCCATTACTAAATTGGCGTTTAATGGAAGCTGGTGTAGGTGCTCGAAGAACAGTTGCTGCAACTGCAGGCACTACAGTAGTTGGGACAAATCCAATAAGTGTTGCTTCTGTAGCTACTACAATATCTGAAGAAGCCAGTATGCCAGCTAGTTTTGCTGCTTCTTTGAGTAAAAAGGCTGCACCTGTAAATGTTGGTCCCGGAGGTGATCCTGGTAAGTTTATACAAATTATGTATTTATTTAATAAAATGTATATTATTAATTCTAAACTCATTTAGTTTTCAATAAAAATACAATAATTATAAATATGTTACTGCAATTGGAAATGTGTTTAAATGGTGGTGAAGTTAATAATTTGTATGTTGCTATTTAGGTAACAGTGAAAGTGAGCCAACAGAAGCACTTAACAAAAAAGCATTAGCTATTGTCACTAGAGTTCGTGAAAAATTGACTGGTAGAGACTTTATACATGAACAAGAACTGACTGTCCCTAGACAAGTGCATTTACTCATACAACAGGCCACTGCTAATGAAAATCTTTGTCAATGTTACATTGGGTGGTATGTATTATTCGAATTATTGGCAATTTTTTGTTTTTATTTTACTGTAAACCTAATTGGCAACAAAAAAAAAAAGATTAAATATAACATTGTTAATTAATTAATTAATTAAACCAAATCAGAAATTAACTATCTGTTTAAATGCTTAATTAAATACCAAGCTTGTATTAAACAATTTTACTGTAGAAATATGGAATTTTCAATTGTTATGTATTAGATTGTTTCCACGAACTTGTTAAAAACACATGACAATTGATTTTAACCAATTGACTGTTTTTAGTCATAAAATAATAAAAAAATAAATAAAAATTAAAAATTATTAAATCGATAATACTTGTAAATTAATAAATAGCTTATATATTGAAATAAAAGCTTAACCTGGAGTATTATTATATTTGTAAAGTATGACCAGTTTCAAATTAAAAATTAATTGTCAGATACATATAAAATCAATAAGATCAGAATTGTATATATAGGATATACAAAGTTGTGATCTTATTAATTTTATATATATCTGACAATGAATTTTTAATTTGAAACTGGTCATACTTTACAAATATAATAATACTCCAGACTGAGCTTTTATTTATTTATTTATTTCTATACATAAATTATTTGTTTATTTATTAATATATTATACTATTGAATTATGCTACTAAAACAAATTATAATTTTTTTATAAATTATATTATCAAATTACTCATGTATTGAAGTAAAAAAAGTAAATAATTAACTCAATTTTAAATAAAAAGTATTAGGTCTTATCATTTTTATTTCTTAATTAGTAAACGTAAAACTATAGTATTTTTTGATTTCTATAAATACTTATTAACAAAATATTATGTCCCTTATTTTCAGGTGTCCATTTTGGTGAGTTTCATTTACATCTGCTGTTAGATATTATACATTATTGTTATTTTTTTTTATATACTGTTTTAACATTAAAAATGTTTTTATGTTTACTAATAAATACAATTTAATCATGTATATTTTTTGTTTATACTTAAATTATTTCTTATTATATTCTACCTTTTTAGTGCATATTATAAACATATTTTATGCATTTATAATTTAAACTGAATTTTAATTTTAGTTTTTAATTTTAATGTTTGTGACAACAATGTTATATGTGTTTGATGCCAAAGGGCTATTGAATAAATTATATATATATATATATAAAACAGTTTGCAAAAATCCAAACTATTAATTATAACTATGCCATTTCGTATAATATATCTTACTATTTTTTATACCAAAGGAAATCAATATTATTAAGTTGAGCTGTACATATTTTAGATTTAAGGTGATGTTCCCTATTGGAGTTTCTTGCTAATCCACAAATTAGTTTGATTTTCTTACTACACTGTATTCTTGGTGTTATATAATTCTTCAATTCTATTATAACATAATTAATAGATAGCATAGTACATAATTAAGAAAACAATATTTTGTTCATAAAATTATTTTTGTTAATAAATGTCTAACCTATAATGGCTTTTAAACATTAATAAAATAATATTTATTAATCATTTTATGTAACTTAATGTATTATGTAATTTAATTTTAGATAACTATTTGCGTTGACCAATGAGTATTACATTGAATTTTCTAAGACATATGTATTTTGATCCAAACGGTATAGTAATTGGATGGTATGTGGACGATTCTGTGTGTAATAGTCTCCAACTGTGTTACTTAAAAATAAAGCGATCTGAACTGTTACAACTGTGGTGGTGGAAACCATTTGCGCCCATCACACCTTTTTTATAACCCATTTGCGCCCGAAATATTTTTAACAAAAATGTGTTAAACCCGTGCGATGTTGCCAAATTGTATTCTGGAATACAAGCAATATAAGCAATTATAAAGTTAGAACTATTGTACATAGTGATGTGCATAATCGAGTGAAAATAATCGAGATAGGGTGCCCGGCCGCCTAATTGTGCATATTATTTACCAGTTTTAACTATTTTTAATTTTTATGTTACCTTATCGATATTATCGAATATCGGTCCATTTTATCTTAATTGTACTTTTGACGACTCTCACTTCTCTCTGTGTATGCGTAGTGTTACTTTACTCAAACTACAAATTTTTAACTAGATTATTTATTACACATGAGTAGCGAGTGCATAATAATGGATTTTAATATAATAAATACAACTAAAAATCGTGTGTGTTTAAATTTTCGTAACTTTAAAGTCCACTTAAGTAGAAATTTGGTTTCGAAAAATATAAGTTGGCGTTGCGATAAAAAAAATTGTAGTTCGTATGTAAAAACGAATTGTTTAAAATCAACACTAATCGATATTAAAGACAGTTTTGACTACAGTAAATAAAACATAGTGTGAATTAATTAAGTGTTGTTCAACTTAGAAATCCTGGATTTAATGTTATTGTCATATTGACTAATTTTTTTAAGCCCAAAATGTTGAAAAAATTATAAAATTTAAACTATATAATTTAGACAATTATTATTTAAGTACTATAATTTATATAATTATATATTATATATTTATTATAATTATACTAATCTACTTTAAGTATTTATCAAGATAAAAATAATCTATATTATAAATCACAATGGCAACGTTGTATGCGAAATGGATGCATATGGGCTATAAATCGGCGGTAGTACCTTATCTTTAGGGCGCATTTGTCCACATCCCTCAGGGCACAAATAGGCTACAGCCAATTGTAGTATGTAATGAGCTCGGATGTTTATGACTTAGCATATTTTTTTCGCGCAGCCAGAATTACATCGGAGTGAGATACAAATTTGATTCATCAAGTCTATTTTACAAATATAGTGTACAAGTTTAAGTAGTTTTGTGAAATAATTTGGGGAACATGTATTTAGTTCCGATGGTAAAATATTATTTTGCCAATTGTGTGAAGTTAAAGTGTTGGCAAGTAAACGATTTTTAGTAACACAACACTTGAAAACTGTAAAGCATGAACATGCAGTAAATCTCCGAAAAAGACGCGAACAAAGTATAGTTCAACCGTTATTTACATAAAATACAAATAAGAAAAGTGATTTTAATTCCGATCTTGCTGAAGCATTACTATCAGCTAATATTTCACTGTACAAGGTAAATAATTTTAAATTCAAAGAGTTTTTAGAGAAGTATACTTCTAAAAATATTCCTCGACCTTATGGAAAAATTATATAGATGATATTTATAAAAAAACCTTAACTAAAATACAAGTCGAGGTCTTTAATCGTAAAATTTGGGTATTAATCGGTGAGACCACGGATGTAGATGGCCGCTATATAGCCAATGTTATTGTGGGCGTACTTGATTCTGAAATGCCTGGTAAAGTCATGCTTGTTAATTGTGAACATTTAGAAAAAAAAAAAATAGTACAACAATAGCTCAACTCTTTGATAGATCTATGAATTTAATTTGGCCTCAAAGAGTAGAACACAATAATGTTTTATTGTTAGTTAGCAACGCCGCACCATACATGGTAAAGGCCGGATCAGCTATTCAAAAATTTTTCCCAAAAATGCTTCATGTAACTTGTCTCGCTCACGCTTTACATGGTGTAGTTGAGCAAATCCGCAGTGATTTTCCGTTGGTTGACAAATTTATTTCTTCTGTTAAAAAAATCTTTCTTAAATGTCCAGCAAGAATAAACATATTTAAAGACGAAGCACCAGAACTAAGTTTTCCCCCAGAACCAGTTATTACGCGTTGGGAGACATGGTTGAATGCGGCTATTTATTACTGCGACTCATATAAAACAATTGAAAAAATTATAGAAAAATTTGATCCCGATGATGCTTTGTCTATAAAAACAGCTCAAAAAGTTATGGGTGAACGTAGAGTTGAAGCTAATTTAGCTTTTATTAAATCAAATTTTTCATTCTTATCTTCTGCTCTAATATCCCTCGAAGAAAAGGGAAAATCTCTATCAAGTTCAGTTGCCATTATAAACGTCGTTTCAGAAAAGTTATCAATTGCAGCTTCATCTCCTCAAGGTAAATCAATATACACAAAATTTCAAAAAGTTTTGGACAAAAATTCTGGGTATAAAATATTGTTCAAAAATAATAGATGGCAAAACCGATTCGTTTGATGGACTTCCTGAAGCTATAGAAACTATCGACATTGTTAACTTTAAGTACGCATCGGCCAACTCTGTAGACGTGGAGCGGTCATTTTCAGCTTACAAAAACATACTGTCAGATCGTCGAAGATCTTTCAAATTTGAAAATATATCCAAAATCATTGTTAAACAGTGTAATCTTAATATTTATATTATTTAACCTACGTAACATGTATTTTAGTTTATATATTTATATTTATAGTAATTTATTTTTATCACGCATTTTTTTTTATAATTTATTTTGAATTAATAATAACCCCTTTTTTGCGTATATTTTTTTGCATATTTTTGTTGAAAAATAGTTATATTTGATATATTTGAAGGCATATATTTGCATATTTTGAAATTTTTAAATGCATATTTTAATGAAATTTGGGTCATTAACATCCGAACTTTAGTAATGTACAACTCAGTATGACAATATTTATGGTCTTATGACTACTCTTATCAAAGTTATGTATGGTCTTTTTTGATTAATCAAACATATTATGAAACTGTGAATTACGTTCAACTAGGCACTACATACATAACTTCCTTTTTATTCTATGATTGATAGAGTGCTCATATTATATGACATTTTTATTTCCGCTGATGATGATATACAGGATATTGAAGGTAGGTATTTCAATTATGATATAAAATACCGATGCGAACATGTAATTATGTATTATAAATTATTTACATATATGAGAAAAAAATGTACATATCGATACGTATACACACACTGGTACAATAACGTGAAAAAAAAATTATGCGATTAAAACTACTCATTCATAAAAGGTCATTTAGGTTCACGATACGTTTCTTTTTTAAAACCGTCGACGTTTATATAAATAATTTGTAGTGTTATTTCTTTGATAAGTTTCGAATAGATAAAGTAAGAGTCAGTTTTCATTCGAAGAAAATATACCTAATAATATGGATCGTTGGACCAACAGAGTGGTTTTGGTGACTGGAGCTAGTTCGGGAATCGGAAAAGCAACAGTGACCGAATTGTCCAAATATCCTTTGAAAATCGTCGCTGTAGCTCGGAGAATCGTTTTGATACAGGTTTTGTGTAATATTACCGTCGCTTATTTGTTTTCCTTACGGTCAAAAATAAGGCATTACTGTGAACGTATTTAAAAATAGCTTCTTGATGTTTCCGGAAATGTTTAGGAACTTGTCGACCAGTTGCAGCCGTCTCCAGCCAAAATATATCCGGTTCAATGCGATTTGACCTGCGAGTTGGAAATATTGAAACTGTTCGAGTGGATCGAAAACACCATTGGCCAAGGAGTATCGATAATGATCAATAATGCCGGATCATTGACGAATAGCAAAATATTGGGTAACTTACATTAACAAGATACCTTAAAATAAAATAATGAGTTGGTTTTAATTTTTAAAAAAAAAAAATGTCTTCAATATTGCCGGTAGTTTATTTTAATTAACAGTTACAATATTTAATTTCAAGTGTTCTCGATTTTTTATGTATACTATGTACTATTTGAATAAATATGACTATGATTTACAATATATTTCTGTGTCGTAGACGGCGATACAAACGACTGGAGATATTTGTATGATCTCAATGTTATTGCGACAACAATATGCTGTAGGGAATCGTATAAATCAATGAAAAATTATGGCATCAATGATGGACACGTAATTAATATAAACAGGTAAGAGAACAATATTACTGTAGAAAAACCTAACCGTTTCGTCTACGCGGAATGTATGAAAACAATTAAGGGCTTTTACATAAACAAACGTTATTAATTTATCTTGATCGAACATAATAAATAATAACACTAATTTTTTTACGTTTAAGTCTGTTTATTTAAATTATCTTACAATTCATCTTGATCAAACAGCTTACTGATTTTTATAATTTAAATAAATTATTATATAATTTTTCTACATACTAAATAACACTATTATTTAAAGTAACGTAGCATTTGATGCTCGAACTATATTAAACGTATTTAATAATTACTTCCCCTGATAACATGCATTAAAACTATATCAACAATTACATTATTAATATATTGTATGGTTGATTTCGTTTTTAGTACGGCTGGATATACAATGCTATCATTACCTGGACAGAAAGTGTACAATTCAACAAAAACAGCACTGACGTACCTGACCGAAGGATTTCGGCATGAACTTGTTCACTCTGGTTCGAAAATCAAAGTAACTGTAAGTGAATCACATGACCTAAAAACGCGTTTAAAAATTATATCATTGCAATGTCAATCGGTGGATTTGGAATTTAAATAGGTTCAGTTTAAACGAATGTATAAGTGATTATATTAGTGTTTTGCAATAGTAATCAGAAAGTGACCGTATAATATGACTAATAAAATCTATTGAACATTGAAAAAATGTATTTTAACATTAATAATTAATCGTTAACCGGTGATATTACAACTGATATTTATATTTTTGTTTTATTTTCTGCAGAGCATCAGTCCCGGAAGTGTAATTTCTGAAGGTATCGAAGAAAACGCAGATTCTGTTTTGTCAATGAAGCCCGAAAGAGTAGCTTCCATGGTAATCGTAGCATTAACTACACCAGCTGATATTGTGGTAAATACAATAATTATTTTAAACAAGTATTCTATATACGTTATAGATCAAACTGAAAGCAAATAATATAAGAAGAAATAATGAAAAGCGTATTTCAAAAATAAATACAATACGTATCTATTATACATATAATAATAAATTAAATTAAATCACTAAAATTACAGACTTGTTTACAAAAAAAAAAAAAAAAAATTATAACATTTAAAAAAATTAACTTTACATCCGTGAATATTTAATGGAGTACTTAACACAATACTAAGAGTAATAGTTACCAATACACGTATAATAAATATTAAATAATACCGATTACGATTTAAAACTTTTTATTCGATTCGCAAATTTCGTACGATCGAGATCGTTTTCAATACATCTCCCGGTACCACGTAAATGTTATGCGCTCGCGACGGACAACTGCTTTGTACATCGTCACATAATCCGATGGATGGTGGTTCGACTTATAACGTTATAATATTTCTTCGTCCAATCAAAGTTTCATCACCGTCACGTATTTAAAAATATTACTCAACGATACATGCAAATGGATCAATCAAATGTACACAGTCGATTGTGAGTTATCGGCTGACTTTAACCACGGCCACGTTGTATCCGTGCAACGTATATGGACGACGTATGATCATAGGCGCGACTAGGGTAAAAAATTTGGGAGGAGGGGCTTACAGCCCACCTACCAAAACTTAAAATAACCTAGAGATTACCCCTACTCTTATACACCATGTTAATATATATTAGATTCTGAGCGAAATTGTATTTACTGCAATGTGCTTTTTTTTTGTATGTGACACATTTGTGAGTTAAGTATGTCATGTATAACATGGAATATTTATGGGGGGCTAAATCTTGGTCTGGGAGGGGGGAGGCTAACTCGATTACAAATTATCCAGACACGTTTTCTGTTCGTACACTGTATCGCATGTGTTTCAGATCGCCGAGCTCACCGTGCTGTCCGTGGGCGAAACCATTCATGTGTATCCTCCGCCGATGATGTAATACGCTCGCCGTAATAAAATTGAACATAATGTGTGTATCGACGACTTCGAAGATTCGACGCGTGTCCGGTACGCGAATAAGATAAAATTAGGTTTAGTAATAATAATAATAATAATAATACTAATAATAATAATAATAATAATAAATAATAATAATAATAATAATATTATTGTAACGCAGTCGGGACACGTCGTCGTCTCGGGTATTACGTGTTAATAAACGAAATACGTACAGAAATAAGTCGCAATACTTTGTGTTATTATGTGTATTGTATTGAACGAGAAACGCGTGGCTGATAATGGAGGAGGGTTTGATCATATTATTTTTTTTTTTTTTTGTCGCGAACGCGAGTTCGTTTTTTCCGTTACGCGGACCACCGGTTCAAATTCAAATCGTTTCTCACGCGAAAGCACTGTCGAGAATTATCGAAAAACAAATCTAATAAACACGTACTGTACACCCTGATACCGATGTGCCTTTTTTTTTTTTCTTTTTTTGAATACTTAAAATTGTGCGTTTTACAATTGTGTTTTGTCGTGAGAGACCGTGAGCTGATTATCACGGTGTCGTAAGTGTGCAACAGGCGATGAACATCGTTTTTCAATTTACTCGAAACATACTTCATTTCCTCGGTAAAGAATTGTTCTGTACAAATCGAGCTAATCATTAATTATTCGGTTGATTTCTGTGAGGTATATCAATGAATAGTACGTTCTATAACGTAAATTCGCAACACGTCCTTTCGAAAATTTGAGATTATTTTTGCAGTGCGTTTTTTCGTAAACATCGCTTTGTAAACCCGCCAGAATAAAAATGTAAACATTAAATCTAAAAAATCGTTGTCGTTTACAAGATACATATTATGCATATCGGATTGTTATCGTATCGATAGCGTATTGATAGTGGAAGAAATGTGTATCGTTCAAACGCCATTCATGAATATCATCGACGGTACAGCTGAAAATGTTGAAGTATTGTGAAAAAGTTGAGCGTTTCGGAGTTTTTTCGGAAAGCGGTACACATTGTCGAAACCGAATAAATCGTACTTATGAAAACTCTTTCACGCAAACCGAGTATACTATAGTAATACGGAATACAGGGGAAAATGCAACGAGACGTCACACGAAAATCGACCGACGTAGGATCCGATAGGCACATCGTCGATGTGGTTGTTTAACGTTTTACCGCGAACACCAGTATCGTGAGCGTAGGTGCAAATAGTGTTTGAAATTGGGGGGGGGGGGCGACTGAAGCTCAGGTTTATACCGGAACATAACCAATCGTGTAGCGAAATCGTTGGGGTTTTTCCGAGGGAGCTATAATAGTTCTGAGAATTACGTTAGTTGGTTAAGACCTAAGCAGTCCACCCCTTATTTGCGTTTATGATTGTGCGATACCCGTAGGGGAATGATATTGATATATCTTGTAAATCGTTCCGCGTTTAGCTATCGGGCGAAGTGGTTTAGTGTACAACGGGGGAGGGGGGGGATGCTTCGCTAGCGGAACGGTTGACCAGAGGACGAGTGGCAGCGGACTACGACGGAGGCTTGAACGATAGGCGATCCCGGTATGATTTATTGCTACGTGATTTTCATGCGGATCCCACGTCGATTCGGCGGCGGCCGGGTGACGATGCGGTGGGTTCAAGGTGCTGGTACGGTGGGGTGGGTGAGGAGTGTCCGGTTGTCAGGTGTTGATGTCGATGATGGTCGGCTCGATAGGCATCATAGCCTGCGAGGGTGACAGGTGGACGGTTATGATCTGTGACGAAGCCGATGGCCGGCGGAACGGTGACGGCCGCCGGAACGGTTGCGGTGACGACGGCGGCGGCAACGGTTGCGTGGCCGCGGCCGCGGGAGAAGGCGTCGGAGTGGACGGCGTGGGCGGCTGAGACGGTTGGGCCGACGGCGGCGGTCGTTTCGGTCTGGCGCCCGGCCGCGGCCGCGGCGATCTGCCCGGAGGTAACAACTCGACGTCGGTGTTGCGTGCGGAGGTGTCCGTCTCGTTGTCGTCGTCGGCGTTGTCCACGTCCTCGTGGTCGTCGTCACCGGCCGGCAACGACCTCAGCTGCTCGGAGTCGTCGTCGTCGTTGTCTCCGCCGCCCGCCGACGACGGCCTGTTGAACCGGTTCCGGAAGCCCAGGACGTTGGCGGACAGCGACTGCGCGGAACGGTCGTTGGGCAGCGGTCCGCACGGATCCGCGGCTGTGCGCGGCGGCGGCTTGGGAAAACCGAACGACGGCGACAGCGAGGACGGCAGGCCGAACGGCGACGGCGGCGACGGCGATCCTATGCCGTACGGAGACGACGTGGACGACAGACCAAACGACGGCGGGAAATCGTCGAACGCCGCCTGCGAAGAGCCGAACGTGGCACCCCAGTTACGGTATTTGTCGTTGTCGCCGTACTCGTCGTCCGTAGAATCTGGGGGTAAAATGTTGGGTACAATATTAAAAGACGTGCGCGTTTCCTGATTTTTTTTGTTGTCATTGCATTGTAATTTATTGCGAAGGGATTGTCCCGCGAAATGTTTAAACAAATAAACGAACATTCGTTTTTCGAAAGTCTCGTAAACGCGAACAACAACAATCTTAATAAACTGCGAGAACCATTCCCCTCTTCCACCCGTCATTTCACAAGATCGTCGCCGTGTCGTTCTCGTGTTGGCCGAAATGGCCAACTGAACCGAATTCAAATACATCTGGACCCTGAGCGACGAATGTATTGCGTTTTGGTCGCAGGGTTCGAAAAGGAATTAACGCGTAGAATTCGCATCGACCATACGTCAGTGTTTGCATTGTGATTTTTAAAATCTGAACTCTGATACGGTAACATTTTAAGAAGCCTTATCAAATAAATCAAAGCCCGCATCCAATGATACGGACATAGAGTATATGAAATCTATTTCGTTCGCGATTGTTCTTAACAACGACTAACGCATCTGTTAGACTGGTGATCTGTGGAAATTTATAAGACGGTTTACTCTGTCAAGTGCCGCAGGCGTATTGTGTTCGATCGGTATGTCAGAACCGATCAACAATAATTATTTTAAAGTTCTGAACTCGATACGTGATCTTATACATTTTTTTTTTTTTGTAATTATTGTGCGGATTCAACTTACACATCAGGTTATGGGCACGGATAGTTGGGTTAGGTCGGTAAGTAAATATTTTGTTGTTATATATGTGAACTATAATCGCGTGGAAATTCATAATACAGCTTATACGAATTATGATGTAATAGAAATAAAATAAGGTACATGCAATCGAATTGTGTATTAAAATAATAAAAATTTTGATCTAACTGTTTCCACTGTGAACAAATTAACGTTACATAATCGTATTTTAATCGGTTAAAAAACCAATAATCATCGTCTAAAGCATCTTTGCAAATAAATAAATAAACGATTTGTAAATCGTAACGGTTTGTAGACACTAATAAGAAAATTATGTAACCTCAGATTACATCGAATTATAAAATAGTGCTTGTAAATTTTTTCGGTTATGTACGTCATGTAACCTAAATATATTTATTTCTTTTTTTTCGTTTTCAACAAATTGCTTGTTGGTACGAGTATAGTTATTTTGAGGTAACGCATCAGATTACAGAAATACTATAAGTCATTTGATTACTACAATCTGAATAACTATATTATTTACTCCAACATATTTTAATGTACCTCGATCTTTTGCGTATGTTATGTTTGATTCGTATTATTGATAGAGATGACCTCATTTCCTATTTTTTTCCCATAAATAATTGATAGTATTTGCATTTAAATTTACTTTTCTATTTGTTTGTGTACAGTATGAAACAAAGTACGTTTATAAGAGCAAACAAAAATTATATGAAGCATTTATAATATAATTGTATTATACATCTATTATCAACCTATCTACAAGGCAATCGAGTTAGCTGTCTCGTCGTCGGTGAAATACCAAATACGACGATAGAAACGCTTGCATCATTTCAACTACATACTCTTCATATAAGCTATATACAATCTATAATTTTAGTTATACTGTACTAGTAAACCTATTCGAATCGTATTCATATATTATTCATATATATTCGAATAAAACGTTTATAGCCGGGTTAATATAATAAAAAGGACAACCGGATTTATTAAAAAAAAAAAAAATCGTAAAATATTCTGATAATCGAAATACTTATTCGATTCAAATTGTTCAGCATAGCTAAAATACGATTATTTTATTAATCATTTATAAAATATATGCGTGTTCCGTGCAACTATTCAAAAATATGCTAAAATGACGTGAAAAAAACAAAATTCTCCCCCTCCGATTAGAATTATTTACCTAGAACAACGTACATAGAAATATGGGTTGGCGCACAAACCTGGGCCTCGATCGTAATATACGAGTATGTAAATATGCGGGGGCGGAACTAGGAATTTTTACGCCCGAGGAAAATGTTAAAATTACGCCCTATCGTAGACCAACAATAAAATACCGTTCCTTAAAATTTTTTTTCTAATAATTAGCACACAATCATACTCGTATATAGTTTTAAACACATTATAAGTGTAACCAAGTTAAAAATATCCAACTAGCAGTCAACAGTGGATTATTATCTACCACGAAAATTACACCCTCTACAATTTTACGCCCGGGGACGAAAGCCCGTCTTCGTCCCCCTATTTCCACCCCTGTAAATATGTAAATATAAATTACAGTACCAACGGTGTTGACTGGCTTCGAGAACGGACCGGCCGAGGACGGGAACTTGAACTCGGACGTGGATACGCCGCCGCGACCGCCGCCGCCGCGGCCGCCGGAATCGTCGTCGTAGTCGCCGTCGTCGTTGTGCAGGTTGTCGTTGTACTTGTCGAAGCCGAAGTTCAGCGACAGCGGCGGCTGCGGCAGCGACAGCGGCGGCGCGTACGGGCGACGGCCGTCGCCGTCCGTATCGTACTCGGCCAACGACGACAAGGACGATAACGACGGCGGCGATGGCGCCCCCGCGGCGTACGGGTGATCGCCGTCGTCCGACTCGTGCTCGGCCGCCGACTGCGGCTGCTCGTCCTGCTGGCCACCACCACCGTCGTCGCCGCCGCCGTGGAAACCGTGGTCGCGGACCAACGACTCCTCGCCGTCCGGCTGCACGTACCGCACGGACGCCCTGAACCCGTTTTTCGGGTCCGCCGTGTACAGCACCCGCCTGAGCACGCCGTCCGGTTCCATCACCGAGTACTCGCCCGTCACCGTGGAACCGTCCCGGGTCTCCGAGTGCCCGTGGCTTTCGCCCGTGTTCGGGTTCTCCACGCCGTACGCGAACGAGTATTGCGGTTTCGCCTGCGCGTGTCCCGGACGGGATGAAAACCGAACAAAAAAAAAGAAAAAAAAAAGTTAAATCACGGATCGATAATAGTCGAAAACGAATAGAAAAATATGAAACGATAACGGCTAACGTGCATCGGTTTTTATCGGTACGCTGTACGAACTAAAAGATATTATTGTACAACACGTTATCATGTCGTACATTACCTGTCCCTGTAGTGGCGCATCATCTGAAGTTTAGTTTCGTTATAACGTATTTTCTAGTGGGGGAGGGGTTGCAATGGTTTTTTTTTTTTAAATAAGCGATATTACAGTATAATTTAATACAATTATAATGCAATACAATGAATCATTTGAAAAAAAAACTATTTATTATTTATATTTTTTATTGTAAATGATTATGAATTTCCCCTTTATCGAGATTTTAGTCTTGTAATGAAGTGCTGGAAAGTCTAAAACACAAAGTGAACTACTTATACTTAATCAGAGAAAAATATTCATACACCAAACAGTATCATCATATTTACTTAAAATAACATAATTGTAATAAATATTTTAAATTAATAGTTAAAATTAAGTTTTAAGTAAAATAAAATATATAAATAAGCATGTATTAAGTTTATAGGTTTTAGATATACTTTTTTTTTTTTTTTGGTTAAATTAAATATGTAATAATTAATTTTATTATCGTTCACTTGCAAAAAATATTAAATTTAAAAAGAAAAAAAATGATTTATCATTGCTAGTATTATACCGTAGTTCACACATTGAATGTAAATTCTCGCGGTTTTTAGTTCTAGTTACGTATTATTAAATTAAATTTACATTAAAAAATTTAATTATAAAATTGTCGATTTCAAACGTTATCGTATAAACCACGATTGATTCAATATAGAATTATCAAGTACTGAGGGAAATTACCTAAATAATTGAAAAAAGACTTATTTAAAGTGTTTTCCGATTGCAATTTTCAACCTTTTTAAATACTGTATGAGATTTTTCGTGTCATTTTACTATTCCAAAAATTCTTGATTCACACAGAATCTTAATTAATTTTCAAATAAATGGTTTAAATTAGTAATTTTAGTAGCTTTAATATCACACACTAATATAATTATAAATAATGAAATCGATAATCAATTACGTTTTAAATGATGATACCGAATCGCCGTGTAGAATGATAATAGCATTTCTAAGTTAATAACAAATAAAGTGATTAATACAAATTTCCACTGTAAAATTAGTCTATAATTCAAATATCTTTAAATATTCCATTATCGAGAAGTCGTTTTTCAAAATAATTTATCGTTGTCATTTGTATTATAATGTGCTTGAAATATTTATTTTTATCCGCTATCTTTAGGTTTTCAAAATTATAATCGTTTTTGTTAATCGAGACTATATATTTGATCCATCAGACTAATACCAGAAAATAGTAAGTGTAGTATATAATAGTAGTGTATAATGTATGGTATGTGTTACGTTACCACGTAATCAGCACCGTAAGGGCTGCTTTCGCCGTTTTCACTTTCATAATCCGAAGACGGTTTCCATGGCTTGACTTCTTGGACTTCGCCGGACACAGGCCCTGTGAACGTGCTCCAAGCATAAGAAGCAGGTAAGACGTTGGCGGCGTACGATCGTAGCGTGAACCAACACAGGACGACGATCTGAAACCGAAAAGAAGAAATAGAAAGAAATAAAAATTGTAAAAAAAAAGTAGCAAATATTTTAAGCCAACGTGGAGGTTTGTTCGATTTGGAAATATGATTGGTTTGTTCAAGACTCACGTGCAAGACGACGATCATTTCTTGTAGCTAAACGTTTATTGTTCATTAATCCATTTGCTCATTGATGTTCTTACATTAACAATCGTTATCGTAATAATCATAACAATGGTAATTTACGTTCGGCAGGTGATAGTTCAATGCATTTCGTCCTCTCCCACTACTCGTATTGTCGTACCGACGGCGGCCGATGTTTTATCTTAAACCGGCATCACAGACCAACGGTCTCGTCTTTAAAATATGTAATCGTCACTTTTTCCGAATAAATATTAATCGATTGATATAATTATATTTTTATTTTTAATATCGCTGCGGCGGAAATCCTTCAAGCACGAATAACGTATAATTTTTTAATAGATCACTACGACAAATCGTTATACAACTGTTATGAACTACATTTGAAAAACAAAATACAATTCGTGTTCTGTTGCAATTTCTCAATTAAGTATTGACACAACATTTCAATAAAATTGGAACCTAAGCTTTAAAATAATTGTATTTTGACAGTTTTCGAATACAGTGTATAATATTTACATGTGAAAATATTAATTTTTATGTCTATAATTTTCAATATAAGTATTTAATTATTTAAATTAAATTTATTATACATATGAATACTAAGTCCCACTGAGAAGATTTATGTAGGGCTCAAGAAATTAAAATACTATAATTTTCAAGATCTTTTTTTCTTCTTCATTCTTATAATCTTAGTAGTTTTATGTTTTTAAGTAGATTAAAACTTGTTTGAGCGCTTTAAGGGATTAGCTCTATAAAGCATTTCAAGCGGGAAAGCGTCTTATGTAGAAATTGAAAAAAAAATAAAGTAATTAAAATAGCGAGTTAATTTTTCATTATTAAACATAATAAATATGAAATACATAAATTTATACAATATATATGTGTATTTTTATTATTTTTTTTCTATTTTATTACATATTAAAAAAAAAATTATCTATTTTCGTTTGCTTAAGATTCTGACCATAATTTTTTCGGTATTTTCTACAGAGCATAATACTTTTGAAATTTCTAATAGGTGTTGCAAGCCAGCAATAATTTTAGAAGTCGATACTGAAACTCTGAATCTTCTTTTTAAACCTTATAATAGGATGAAATATGTACCTATTCGTAAAAACACTATAGGTAGTACGATAAAATAAAACGTTAAAATACATATTATTGAGTAAAATTTCAATTTTTACTTTTAAACAATTACTATAATTTATTGTAATCTGCTGAACAAAAGAGCGTCTTAACAGGTAATTTTTCCATTGGCTAGTATAAGAAATGTCTAGAGACCGACTGTAAACAGCGTCTTAAGCTAATTTTTATGTATATTCCTATCAAAAATGTTTATTGGAACTGTGTATATATGCTACAGGCGATATGATATACCGGGCAATGTACACAGTGCTCGAGCAAATTGGTCCTGCCCGGGCAATTTGAACCTCGAATATAAATATATAATTACTAAAAGTGTCTTGAAAATCATGAAAACTTGAAAGCTTAATCGTAAATATAAATTATTGTTTATATATTGTCGTATGATTGTATCGGTACGATACTTTATTGTCATCATTAATGTCATTGACTATATAATAAATGTGATATGGGAAAACAATAAAATAACATAGAATAATATAAATAGTGAGTAAGAAATATTTTACTGATATTTTATACTTTGTTTTGTATTATAATAAAATTATAAAAAATTGTTAGTACATTATTTCACAGTATATTATTATAAGTTTAATATTTATTTATTTTTATTCGAGGTTCAAATTGCCCGGGCAGGATAAAATTGCTCGAGCAATGTGTATATTTATAATTTATTTAATTAATGTTATTACTATTTCTAGTAGCAATTGTATAGTGATGATAAAACCTAAGCCTAACTCCTGTAACCTCCTGTATAATTTCGGGAACACTTATTTTTAAAACCTAGTATACTAGTTCATTATTTTGTTTTTCAATTCGAGTACTGAATGCTTTTTTTAAGATTTTACATTTTTGATTTCACAAAAATATAACATATTTATAAGTTATGAAAATGATATTAGTAGTTTTTATAATATCTGTTTTGATAAATTATGTAATTTTAAATTTTAAGACTTTAAATTTTAGTGTACAAAGTTAATTCGACTTTTACTTTTATAACAGATATTAAATCAATGAAGCGAGAAACATACAAATGTGTAGGTACGCGTGAATGCATTAATGCTTGACTAATGACGAGTGAACCAGTTAACAACAGAGTTGACTTTAAACGATGATAAATAAATAAACAATTATATGATTATATTAACTCAATGTTAGCTACATACACGTCAACAATTTTAAAATAATATGAAAGGAGATATATTAAACATTATTATTTTTTAAAAATATAGTTTAAGTTATGTATAATTAACTATAGTTATTAAAATGTGTAAACAATTCATACATGGATCGAAAACATAAAATATATCAAGAAAATTAATATAGTCCGTTGAGAGATGTTATTGCGTTCAGTCTTTAGTAATTTACTGTGTGAAAAAATAAGCATTATACTTAAGTACAACACTTGTTAACTTTTTTGACCGTTAAAGTTTAAACAAAATTTATGCAGAGTGATAAATATTATACTCGTATTTTTCACGAATAGGTATACAAATACTAATGCAGGTTCGCGTAATGATTTGTTGGGCATTTAATACAGGAATAATATTTAAGGAATAAATCCATAAATTTTGTCAGCGGATAATGCCAATGTGTCCTGGAATGTATGCGGTAAATTGATCACCTATGAAATTGTTATGTTTATATAAGGAGTTATCTGTTATACTGATTGCTATTCATCGGGCAATAATTATTTTTTATCTATAAAATGCATGTGTTATTTCATATTTATAAATCGTTAATAATGATATTCTCGCATCTATTAATATTGAATAGTGAATATTGAAATTGAATATTAAAAAAAATGTAATAAATATTTATAATAAAAAAATTAATTTCCAAATTATTCGGCAACTATAACAGTAGAAGCAAGGTGGTTTTTTTAAAGGAATCCCTCAATATTTCCAACTTCAGTATTAACATACATTTTATAACTATCTTTTGAATTTATTAATAAAAACTTTTGTCAGTTTTTTATTTGGCGATCAATTAACCTGACTAATTTAACTCATGACTAACTCACCGAGATCCGCTTCGTTTTTTCTATACATGTTTAGCAAATAAACAGTATTTCTCTTTCCTATATTACATACAATTCTTTCGTACACCACGAAAAGTCTCCGATTGATAATTGGTCACGGATATATATGTACACGTATATTGCCAAGGTCGTGTTTTTGTTGCATACGAGTCTTAATATCCTTAAAAACTGATCATTTCACCGATTATGAGTTGCACGGTGAATACAACCATGGTTTCTGGTAAAACGATAGTTTTTCGGTTTTAGTATTCAGTAATTATTAATAGCAGCCGGTATGCAATTTATTATTTTAGCACTTGTTAGTATACGAATACAAAATAGCGATTGTTCGGTGTAACCGATTTGAAAACCGGTAACACCGTTATTCGTCCGTATAAGGCGCAAGTTGTAGATATTCCTACGCTAAAAATTGGAAGAAAATTATCATTATCACAGCCGCAGTGACCAGTAGTCAAGCCTCAGCAGAGTGAAAATGGTTTCAAGCATCGGCTACATTCACGTGAGATTTCATATTGAATATATAATATTTATAACGTAAAATAACTTATATTAATATTATACTATTATTAGTATTGTTATTATTATATTCATGTAACATAGTACGGTAATTTTTTTTTTCCATTAATTAGTGATTAATTTATTTGCTGTTTATACACAGACGAGACGTGATGCGGCGGTGTTGATATTGGTGGTAGTCAGTGGTGGACTGATCACGCAATCATTTGCAGACCATACGAAAGTCCAAGGTAAGAGACAGTTGGAAAATGAATGGGCGTCTACGTCGAAAAAAGACCACAAAGTAAGTATATAATAGAAAAGTGTTATACTAAAACTAAGCAAAATTATATTATATTATAAATTAATAAAAACACATTCGATCGCTTTAAGGGGCCAAATACGTACGAGTTTCGATACGACGTGGAAAATGCTCCCACGAACAACATACAGTACCGGATGGAAGAACGTCATCCCAACGGAAGTGTTGTGGGAAGTTATGGACAAGTCCAACCCGACGGTAAAATAAGAGTCGTGTCATACGTGGCGGACAAGGACGGTATTAAGTAAGTGAAATTGAAAATATTTTGAAAACTTCGAGTAATAGAACTAGAAGTATGCTGAACTATTATCAATCTATTATCTTTGACCTAAATATATGAAATATATTCTTATTGTTTGTCATAAAACAAGACTTAAACACTTATGAAAGTTTCTATCAATCAATCGAACTATTTTAGACAATAATAAGCAATAGGCATTAATCGATGATTAATAGTTGTAATTTGTGCTTAGTTTTCTAAAAATGTCTTTGTTTTTTGTTGAATGTAGAATTCTCATATTTCGTGAAGTAACTTTAATACATCCATTTTGTGTTTCATATTATTATATGAAACTAAAATTGAATGTTCAATGTAATTCATTTTGTTGGCTATAATAAATGTATTGAAGTCTTATGTTATTGGGTTTCTCTCGTAACTAAAAAAAAAAAAAACTTTAAATCTAACGAGTTTTGTTGTATTCCATTGACATTTATAACATTTATAACACGTTTATAAATTTAAAAAAAAAAAAAAAATCAATGATAAATGTACAATTCTATAACTTAAAAATATAAACAAATTAACTATTGAATAAAATATAAGGTTTTGGCCACTTAAAAATTATAACAATTAATAAATTGTTGAAACTACAGAACGTTAACAGTACTTTTTCAGCAATATTAACCCGTATTTCTTAAATAGATCAGAGTCTAAATAAAAAATAATCTTATCCAAACCATAACACACATAACTATATTTGAGTCACAATACTGAATATTAAATTTTAATGATTATCCAATTTTTCCTGATCTACGAGTACATTTACATAATTTATAAGAGTTATTGTGAATTTCATAGAAATAATGAAAATTAAATATTTTATTTAAAATTAGACAGTAAAAATGTTATAGTATTCATAGCAGTTAATGTGGTCTAATTTTAAGGCGATTAAAAAAAAAAAAAAATATGATTTTGTTTTGTTCATTGTTGCTAAAAAATTAAGTCTTGCAATAAAAAAATGTATTGTTTTCAGTCATTGTGTGAAAATAAAAAAAAATTAAACACATTTATAAATAACAAGGTTCTTGCGAGGGCAGATAAACCATATATATATATATATAGATTCACATAGAAAAAACACAAACATATTTTCAACTTCCAAATTTCAAAACATGAGACGAATGTGCAATACATTTTATTATTTATAAAATATATTTCATTTCCCGAAATTTACCTTGGAATTGAAACGTATGAGCAGTCGTATATCCTTGAAAAGTATCGAATCGATTTCACCCGCGCACGACAAATGTTGTGAAACATGGCTATACGTATATGTACATAAAACAGGTTAGGAATCCCTGTAAACACTTCTTCCGCGCTAAGTTTGGGTAAAAGGGACCAACACGGACCGTACGTTCTCGAGAACTGTTCGCGGCCGGACAATATTGATTCCCGGTAATTTTGCCACAGGACTTACGTTAAGGACGGCGGTGGTGGTGGCGGCAACGGAGGTGTCGATCAGTACGTGGCCGAAGGATCGAGTCTGGACCCAGTGCAACGCGTGACTTCGCAGATCATACAGACGGCCGTGAAGTCGCAACAGCAGCACAAGTCGCCATTGCACGACAAATATCAACGGCCAACGCCGAGCACGGCCGCGGCGGCCGGCCAGCGCGTGGACACGGCGCATGCGTACCACCAGCAGAGGACCAATCTGGACCCGGCCACATTCCGACCTGAAGACTCGCCTGGCTATCAAGAGACCAACCAGCCGTTCGTCGGCGACCAGCTCAAGGACAAGCTGCACACGTCGCATGCCGAGTACCAGGTCGTCCCTTCACAGCAACAACAACAGCAACAATTCGTGCAGAACGCTTCACCCCTAGCACCAGTGGTTCCGTACACCCTTCAAGGCCCTGCACCGCCACAGCAGCCGACTCACTACATGCTAAACGTGCCGCCCCTTCCATCCCTGGGTGACAACTCGCCGCTGCCGCTGCTGCCCGGCCAACAGCCCTTACCCATCACGCCTGACCAAGGGCCTATCATGATACAGCTCCAGCAGCCACCGCAGCCGGTCCACAACCATCAACAGCAGACCAACTATCAGTATCAGCCCGCGCAGATGCACCAGCAGCAGTTGCTCAGTCCCAGCCAAGTGCAACAGTACCAACAGCAGCCGGTCAGGGTTCAGCCACCCGCGAATTTGCCGCAACACCAACAGGCTGGCCGGTTGGTGCCCAATCAACTGCAGCAGGCCGTTCAGTATCAACCGCAACAGGCCAGAGTGGTCCAGCAACAGGTGTTGCCTCCTCAATACCAACAGTTGCAGCAACAACATTTGCAACAACAACAGCAGCTACTGCAACAGCTTCAACAACAGCAACAACAGAAATTACAGCAGCAACAACAGAAATCACAGCAGCAACAGCAGCAGCCACAGCAGCAGCAAAAACTTCCGTATCAACAGTCCGTGATGCAGCAGCCGTACGTGCAACAGGTCAACATACCGGCGCATCCGTCGCAGCTGCAAGTCAGAGGGAATGTGCAGCAGCACCATGCCGTGGTACCGATGCAGTACTTTCACCAGCCCAATCCGGCCACCACGATTGAGCAGTACCGGCAGCAGTTGCAGTTGCAAGCTGCCGAATCCCAAACGTTCCCGATCTTCATGTTGCCACCTCGTGATAGTGTTTTCAGTTTTCAAGGGAAACCTTTTCGGTTCTAACGAACGTTTTGTTACTGTCGTAAAACCACTACAGTATTAGTACAAGCGACTCGTTCGTTCGTAAACAGTTTTCTCATTGTCATATAGCATAAGAATATAATAGATACCCGTTGAACAACTTTTTTTTTTATTGAATACATTTTGTTTTCTATCTAGACTTATCGTATTATATGAAATGTTATTCACTGTTATTGAATAGATATTTATACTATTATTATTGTATTTATAACATTTTATACTCATATAGGTAGTAGTGTGACTTAACAATAAATAGTATATTATAATAAGACCAGTATAGATACTATTGACTTCTTGTAGAAAACCATGTGCGATTGAAATTAACGATATTACATATCGCCTGGTAAATTATTAATTTCTTAAGTTTCTTAAAAACGTTTCAATATTGAAAATAATCTTAAGTTTTTGTATGACATAAATGCATTATAACAAAGTTTGTATCAAATATTTTACAATCATGTATGTTTAAACAGTAAATAATCGACATTAGAGTTATCAATGTTTTATGAATAACATAATTTTATAAAATACTATCGTACGATAAAAAAATTTGTTATTTAATTAAGAATTATATATCATATGCTCCTAACTTGAAATTTCATATTAGACAAAAAATATCGTTTTTGTACCGAACACTTTGTAAAGACTGCATGAACCTGTATTAAGAGGATTTATTTTAAGAGTGAATATCCGGGAAGATATTAAAAAACAAAAAATTTGTCACCTGAAGTTCCTAAAAAATCGTTTTATAATTTTCGATAAGATCTGATTTATGAATACAATTTAAATCATTATGGATGCTGTTTCGACAACAAGTTTTCAAGAATATCATGCGAAACGTGTCAGTAAAACGTAAGACATTAATGCGCCAGTATCCTGTAGAGACTACGAGTCCCTGTATGTGAATATATGAATTAAACTCACGAATTTCATGCATCTTGACCATAATCGATAATCGATAATCGTATTTTATTGGAGCACATGGGAGTCGGACAAACGAACAACATGTACCAACAATATTATATTTAATGGACGGGTTCGGTTAAATTATATATGCGTAATTGATTTAACGTGACAGTGCGATGAAGAGAGGTTTGCTATAAAACGCGTCCCCGAGCGCGTTACGTCGTCTTAAATTCGAATACGTTCTTCGTCCGATCGTCTCCGAATCGTTAAGAAAAAAAAAACCGTTTTCGGATTCGGTCGCGGAAACCGTGTTTGCCGCGCGCCGAGAACGACTTGGGCGTGAACACCGTTTCCGTACGGACCGACTCGTCGTCGTTTCGGGATACGATTTGCTGCCGCCGGACGCGTCGTTTACGCGAGACGTAATCGATTCGATTTAAAACCAATTAATTTAATTAATTTTCTTTCTTTCTTTCTTTCTTTCGTCAACGAACTTGTGACATTTCCGAGCGTGTACGTGGTACTATCAATCGTTGCGCGATGTGTTCGGTGTTCCCGTGGAACACGGCGCAAGGCCGTGCTCAATCACGCATTGTTGAATTGTGTTTTTGGCCGTTTGCACAACCGTTCGGGACGCAGTGCCTCGGCCCGTGTATTGTTCCGATTAGCCATGGCGTGTGCGGCGACCGATCCGTTCACACTCAAAGAAGTTTCGACATCTCTTCTCGTTGTTCTCTCTCTCTCTTTCTCTCAGTCTGTATCTATCACTCTCTTTCCATTTAGCTCGTCGAACCTGTCATGCCGGATTTGCATTTGTCTGTCTCAATTTGGAAACCGTCCGGAGTTTTTCGGGTTAACAACGCGCTTTTCCAGCGACGACGCCGTTCCGGCGATCTTTGCCCGTCGGAGCGACGGAACGTAATGCGCATTTTCGAACGAAACGTAAACGCACCGGGCGGCAAAACGTTCTCGTTTTCCGGAAAACACATTCGCAGTCGCACCTATTAACACCGTGATTTCAAACGTCAACACGTCTGTGTTTCGTTTGCGTTTATTTGTCGACAGAAATATTTTTTTAGTTTTTTCTTCTGGTATTATTTATTTCCCATCAAGAAGACAATATCCGGTCAGTAAAATAAATGGACTCGATTCCAGATTTTTCAAATTAAAATTTAGGTACGCAATGAAAAATAAAATTTAAATCATACCACCTATTTCATGACAATATTTATCGTCGAATAACGACTACAAAGCTCAACACTAAAAACCGAACTGAAAACGAAATGTGTCCAACCAGGGCCGGCGTGATGGTTAGGCGATTCAGGCAGTCGCCATTATATAACTTTGTATTGAAATATTGATAATAATTATGGTCATTTCGTTTAGCCGTCTTTATATTAAAATAATATAAGTATATTTTAAGTATATTTACTATGGTGTAGCATAGAATGTTTTTACTTTATATGCTGCTATAATTTTCAAATGTTTGTTATCGTTCAACCAGGATCGCGTCGATCCGTTATAACTCGTGACTAAAAAATTAGACCATAGCAAATAATGTACAAGTTGAGCATAACACGAGTATAACATTTTTCCGTATTTCTGTTCACAAGCAACATTTTTTTCTAAGTATATTAATATTACGGCTTGTATGAAAAATGCGCCGGCTGGCATTCAAGCCTCGGGCGTCATTTAACCTCACGCCGGCCCTGTGTCCAGCTATCGTATTTTGTTTTTATTTATCGTCGTTTGTGTTGGAAAAATTTGATATTGACTCGGTTTGTGTTTTGTTTGCGAGTTTGTTTTATCATTTCAATATTAATCCGGCATAAGAAATCCTCTGTATAATATGCGATTGCCAATTGTTTATTTTTATTTTTATTTTATTTTACATATAAACGGGCATGCGCCCAAGTAAAATGGTACATATAACATGATAATATAATAATATTCTCAATACGACAAATTATTAGAAACAGTTTTAAATAATAATTGTAATCTCACAGTCTGATAAGTATTTTTCATCGTCTTCGTTGATAGATATTTATATTTTTACAAATGTAAAACTTGGTACCTAGATAATTTTCGTTACTCTATTATACAATTCGAATAAATTGTGAACCAATTTGATCGATCAGAATTAAATTACATATTGATTTATACCGCTGAAAAATGCTGAAATAATTCAATAAAATAAACCATCGGTTCTCAACCTTTTCGAGACTATTATCCACAAATCGGGTAAAATATTAGTAAATACTCCTTCTCAACAAAAAATCGTGTGTGGTCTAACGTATAATCCGAATTATCGAGTTATCAGTTATCGCAACCCAATTAGAACGATTCATGGAACCGCAATGATTGATATATCTATTATGAAAGAAACATTATATTTTTTTTTGTACTTATGTATATGGTTCATTTCACAGAACACCACAGATAATCGAGAGTATACTGTATAAATATTATTTAAAGGTAATTAAACAATAATAAAAATTATAATAAGAGGTACATAAGTATATAATAAAAAAAAATAATAATAATGAATCTGGTCTTTACCCCTTAAAGGTAATTTCCCATTGATTGGGAACCACTGCAATAAATTAATCTGCTGAAAACTGTATCGTAGCTATGAATATATATGTAAATATAATGTCACATGGAACAATCAAATTCATTATAAAACTAAAATAAACTATTTACATTGAATTCATAATCAAGCTTCGTTCAAAAACACTTTTAAATTGTAAACATTTAATTTTAGAAGACATCCTACAGAAAAACACATAATAAATTTAATCTTGCATTCAATCCATGATTTCTGTCTAGTCAAATTTTTATTATTAATCTTATTTGTATTCGAATTTATATAATAAGAAATGGAATATAATTCTGTAATAATTATTTTATAATTCATAATTTTAAAATATTAATTAATAATTAGTATGATTTAAGTTATTTAAATTGAACGTTTCAAAAATAATTTTTTTATCTTTAATACGAATATAATTGTATTTTTAATACTTAACAAAGTTTTCTTTAACCAATGTTATAAATGATATAATTAAAATATCTATTGAATTAATATCTGGAGTGGTAAAAAATGATACAAATGAATAACAATAATAATGTATATTATATCTATACCTCATTAACTATTGTACATGGTTGAATGGTTATGCTTGTCAATGTATAAAACCGTTTACTATATTTAATAAACAGTAGTTTTTCATCATTGCCAAGGGTTCATAGATTTTATTATGACTACTTAACAGATATTATTGAAAAATAAATGAGAAAATGACAATATATTTTTAAAGAAGGAAAATATATAGGCTGTTCAATTTTATCGAAGGTTGTGTTATTACAACATCAAGATTCATTATTTAAAAATATTTTATAAAATTAATTAAAATTGTAGCTTTGTTATACAAAAAATATAAAAAAAACGAATTAATTGATGAATCGCAAAATTTAATTTTTAAAATACTTTCAAGTAAGTTTATGAAGTATTTTAATAAAAAAAATCACGTAAAGTGAATTTTACGAATTTTTAAAGTCAATTTGTCAACTTTGTTTATTTCAAAATTAAATTTTATGAAACGTATTAACAAGATTAAATAAAAATGTAAATTTGTTCAAATTATTAATTTTACATTTTATCAAAATTAAATATTTTGTTAAACGTTTTCAAAGTTTTTTAAATTTATGTCTATTATATACATTTATTTATAACATTAAATTATGTAGGTCTTACCTTTTGTTCAATTTAAATTAATTTATGATTTTAAATTTTATAATATTTTGGTAAAACTATACCAATTTGAAATAACGAATGTATTACTAATGTACTTTTGCTTATATATTAATTTTAATATAAAAATACATATACGAATATTCAATGTTTTATTAACCCTTTGGTATTAAGATTAATAAATTAATAAAATAAAAATCGAATTAATAAAACTGAATTTTTTACATTTGATTTTTAAAAATGAAACACTAAAACAAATTAAATCAGTAATTTATAAAGTTATTTTTAGAATATTATTCTAAATTTAAGTTTTAAATAAAGTGAAGTTTTAAATGTAAATGTATTTAATGAGAAGTTGAATCTTATGCCATTGTGAATTCAAATTAAAGTAATTAAAATAATATTTCCAAACATAATATTGTATTTACACAATCAAATTTTGATGTGTCAATTTTTTTTTTTTTTTTTTATATTAGTCATTGAAACGAACAACTTGTTTTTGGTCATTATATTTTGTAACAAATGGTTTTATAAATCTTAATAATAATAGAGAGTACCTATATGCTTTATAGTTGGTATTCAGCTCTCATGTTTGAAAAAACTATTTTCCACTCTTAATATTGAATATCTATACTGTTATTCGAAAGTAATAAATAAAAGTATATAAATAATAACTTATTGTTAATAAAAAAAAAAAAAAATTAATTTAAAATATCGATTTAACGGTAACTGTTTTTTAACTGAGGTCGTATAAGCCGAACACTATGTTTTACATATCATATTGTATACCTTATATTATTTAAAAGAAACGCCCAAAATTAGTTTAGAAAAGTTCCACCACCAGAAAAATAAAAATTCCTCCTTTATAACCGATCGCGATAAAAATAATGACAATAATGAACACATCCTAAAGAGCGTTGTTTCGTCATTTAAACAAAATAATATGTGTTGTTGTTGTATTATGCAATGTTTGTGTGTTTGCAACACGAATTGAGCGAGAAGAAGTGGAAAAATACGTACGGAACGTATTTATATATAACGTTGATCGTAGAACGCGTACAATAGATACTCACCATCGACCGATCTAGAACGTGCGTAGTTCCACCAGTCCTCCATTATCTTCAGTGTTCGTTTTTAAACAAAAACAGCCAACATGCTATCAAAGGTAAAGCGATCAATGCATATCATAATTCTTTCTTTTTTTTTTCGTTCTCAATTTTGTTTTCGTTGCAATGCAATTACTGTATTTTTCTTAATAATTATGACGTATTATTTTTTTCATTTTCACTTCACAAAGGTTATTGTCGGTTCTTGCGTTCTGCTGTACGTCGGTTTGAGCACGGTGCGGTCGTATCCTCAAGGATACGGTGGCGGACACGATGACGAAGAGCACGTGGATTACTATGTGGGTATTATAATTGTTCGCGCCGAATTGTCCGATTACTGCTCATGCACAAAGTTCGATTGCGTCTACAATAAAATTAAAAACAATTTAAATATAAGTACAAGTAATTTGGTAGATTTTGCAGTAACACGATGCGTTGTGTTTCCAGGCCCATCCCAAGTATTCTTACAAGTACGGCGTACAAGATCCTCACACAGGTGATTACAAAACCGCGCATGAATACAGAGATGGCGATGTGGTAAAGGGATCGTACACCGTGCAAGAACCCGACGGTACCCTTAGAACCGTTGAGTACGTAGCGGACAAGGAAAACGGTTTCAACGCTGTCGTCCATAAATCCGGTCACGCCAACCATCCTGATCATTACGAACAATATTGATGTTTCTAAAGGTAAATCATAAACTATAGTATTAGTTCTGTTTCATTTTTCTGGTCGTTTCATTAAAACAGATTTTTTGAAAATTTGAGGATACACGTTTCCCTTATTATGTATAAAACAATTGGGCATATTTGTATTGAACGTTTTAAAATAATGGCATTAATATTTCAAATTGATTATAATAATTTATGTAACTTAATAAATTATATCTATCATTGTTATAATATTTGGAACATATTCGTATAATATACTATATACTAGCGTATATAATATATACGATATTTGCAAATCGAGATAGTAAAAAACAAATTTTTGATATTATAATTTAAAATCTTTATACTTTTTATTATTTCTAAATCGCTTACTTATAATTTTTTAATTAAATATTATTATAATTTTTTTTAAACTTTAAACACTTCGGTAAAATCATGAAATTCTGGTTCATTTTTCGATGTAAAATACTTACACTACATATGATAATTAGATTTTTTGTGAATAACTTAAAAATATATTTAAATAGAAACTAATTTAAAGGAATAATTGCACAACATGTATAATGCACTAAAAATTTGAGAAAGTTGAAAGGTTACATGGTAAATGGGTATCAAGTAAGGTAATATCACATTGCATTTATCACACAAAATTAAATAAACCACCAACATGGAAAATTGATAAATTGAAAATTCGGTACACATGTATGTACTTAAATTGCCTATGTGGCAAGCCGGTTTAAAAGTAGTCAACAATACACAAGAATTATTGAGCTATGTATCAAAATAACGACTATCATCTAAATTTCATAGGTAGTATTAAATATATTTTGTGCTTCGAAGTACTTTTCATAGTGTGTAATGTATTAGATCTTTGAATGACATAATCTATAAGTGAATATATTTATGTGTTACGTAAATATTACATTTTTTTGTAATGTTATAACACATTATGTATTTTTTTTGGTATTCAAGTTATTGAAATTGACTGATTATCATATTAAAAATTCTATTTGATATACTATGAAAGTATTAAAAAAAATGAAATTAGTTTATACTTCCACTACAAATACCATTTTTAGAACACAAATAAATGACCAATTATTTTAAAGACTTGAAGGATAATATATGATGTTATATTTATATATCTATGAATAGATAAATAAATAGATATGAATATATGTATCTATATACGAGTATGTATATGTACGTATGTTAATGTGTTAAATTATTATTATAAATTTAAAGATTGAAAATACATTTGTCAATCTCATTAAATTATAAACAAATTTGAAGTATGTAAATGACATTATAACTTATTGACAAACAATTGTATTGAAGAACTAGATAATATATAAAAAAAAATGTTAATCGAATTAAATGAAAAATCCATATTAAAATAAACCATTTTATAGACTTTATTTTCAGGTCATCTACTCCGAGGCAAGTTTGACTGCCAAATTCTACATTAATATTCCAACATCAATGGACACATGAAAGCAATAATCTAACAATCTAGTCCTTAACTTGTTCGACTTGTTTGTGTCAGAAAAACTTTCATATATTATATTATTATATCTTTATCTAATTATTACTATTTTTATAGTGACTATTACTATAAGTATTTTATTTTTATATTTTTTTATATTTGATATTCTTAGATATAATGACGATTTATTTAATACACTTTTATTGAACTACTGTATACCATGATTATAATGGTAATGTACCATACAATATGTATTTATATAATGGATGATTTATATTGAAACAAGTGTAATTAATATATATTTTATTATTTTATTACCATAAATATATAACATACTTATTTTCTCAGATTTTTTTTTATTTAAAGAATTCATGTGTGACCGTTTGTATTGAAAACTCGTCACGTTTATTTTAGAAAATTACTATTATTATATAAGTAAAATCAATAAACGTTCGAGAGAAAAATATGTGGCTATATCAAATTGTGTCTTCACGCATGACAGAAAATATAAATCGCATATAAATCGAAGACAGGTTGGATAAACTAATATTATAACGTTATGAAATAATCATATATTAAAAGAAAACACCGGGAAATATAAAAAAATAAAAAGACCTAGATATTATTAAAATTATATATGTATTGCATGTTATGTATCATTTTTTTTTTTTTTTTTTACTAATATGAAATATACCATAATGACCTTGCTTAATTTCATAATAGCATTGACATAATATTACAAAAATATTTCGTTCCCAACAATAAAATATTTTAACTCGTACGTTTATTATGTCACTACATCTATTCTTGTATTTTTTACACATAATTGGAATTAATTCTATACGTTTTTAATTAATTTAATATTGAATTATTGTTTACCTCTTACCACATACCAATTGTTAGATATACATAAATTAAAAAAAATATATATATAATTTTTACCAACTCATAACGACGACTTCTTGTTCATGAGGTGTAAGTATTACATATATTTATTCGATAACAAAATATGTGTACACTTTTGGTTAATCCCGTGTTTACTGAACTGAATAGTTAAAATTAACACAAAACTTTTACATGCTCAGCAAAAGCGGTGTCTTACAAATTAAGTGGGATCCGAAGCTCTAGCACCCATCGCACACTTATTTAGTCAGTGTTTAGGCTGAGGCTACCGAAACTCATATCCCTGGGCTCTAAGCTATGTTCAAGTTGGGAGAGCCACAGGAAATTTTCCATTTATTAAAAAAACACTGACTATATTTATATTTTTATATAAATAATATTTATGTCGAAAATAATTTGATTTAGAATACCAAAAAAAATTAATGACAGAGGTGGTGTTTATTTTCTTACATAAATAATCACTTATTAAAATTATATTAGGTGCTTAAAGTAATAATAAAGAGTAATAATAAATGGGTAAGAGTACTGGACGTTAGATCTAGCCCATTCCAGGCATCATTTGGTGTTCCACTGGGCGGTGATCTCTCTCCTATACTACTGTCTCAATTTATCAACAGTGTTCATCGTATTCTGCATCATTATCGTATTTTATGTTTTACTGATGAAATTTAACTATATGCGTGTGTATGCTTAATCGCAGATTATCTCTAGATTCAGACATTCAGATTAATGTTGATCGATTCTTGAAATGGTTTATCATTTTGGGTCTAACACTCAATCTGTACAAGTGCAAGTTCATAATTTTTTCTATGATTCTCTTCTCAATAGTTTATTGCCAATATTATAAATAAAATCAATGTTCCATGTGTGGCTAATGGCGTAATAATTAAACAATTTGTTAAAATACTAAAACATTTTTTTTTTTTTATAGTTTTCTCGAAATAAAAATTTTTGCACTTGACGAGCTTCTCAAATAATCGGTTCAATTGACTTTGGACTTAAGTTAAGTAGAAATTCCAACCTTCGTCTTCACATTGGTTACGTGAGTTTTGAAACCTTTAAATCTCTTGGTGTTATCTTTAGAATAACTAAAGACTTTCATTTTAGCATGTCTCTAAAATTACTATTCTATTCTCTCGGTGTATCTATTCTTGAATATGATGTAGTTGCCCGGGATCCATCCACACCTGTTGGCTCCAGGTAGCTTGAACGTGTTCAAACGGGGTTCCTCAGGTTTGTCAGTAATTATCTTAATTACTCCCCGTGAATCTCACGATTATTTTCTTGTCGCTGCGTTCCGCTTGGCCTATCATCTTTCGCCAAATGAAGATAGGCCGTTAGCGCTAGGTTCCTTGATAGATCGCTGAAAGGTACCGTAGACACATCTTTATTATTGTGGTTGTTGTCATTCAAATTACCCCAATGTGCAACTCTTTTTTCTACCACATTCTTTATATCCCGTGCCACCATGAACTATTTAATATTATTCTATATTTGTATTCAGCATATATCTTAACTTAATACTTGCATGTAAATGTACATAGAGCTTGTCCGTATAAAAATTAAAGTATAATAGATCAATTTTATCCTCCATATCTTAGATAAGTCTAAATGAATTGATGATCTAACCTAACTAATCATCAAATTAAGTTTCATTTTAAAGACAAATTCACGCGCGTTTAAAACATTTCACGCGTCAGATTCACCTATACATCGACGCAAGTCTTCATTGTCTTTAACGTATTCACATCAACATTTTGTCCTTCGTTGTCATGTAATACCAGCATAATATCACATTACATAGTGCTCACATATTTTATTTTTATTATTTATTATTTTTAACAGTAATAACTAATTTACATTAGAAATATAGTGGCTCATTTATAGTTCTTGGTTTCTGTGACGGTTTTCAAATGTTTTCTTAATGAATATAATATAAAAAGTACCAAGGTATTGGAAATTACTTCCATATATATAGTATGTCTATACTACTTAATAAGCTAAGTTTAATCACACCGTTAAGAAAGTATATAAAACATATTTTAATAAATAGTTGTTTCAGACACTTATGTCCATACTAAAATGTATTTTCAGTCTTAGGTTAATCTAAATCTATTCGTCGCTATTTGGTTTAAAAATGTATTTATAATAATAATATAAATACTTTTTATATTATTAAATTTTTTTTATCATAATATAATAATTATTTATATATTATTATATATTTATTATATATTATTTTATATTCATTATATATTTATATATTATTTAATAATGTATAGTAGATAAAAATTTGTGTTATTCATATACATCAAGTTCCAATCGTTACATATTTTAAAACTATTTTTAAACTAAAAATTATGCGAGATTGTGAACTGTGATAGGAGTTAATATACATAGGCAATTTATTAGACCGGAGGTTCCCAACCTTTTTTAACTCACGGCACCCTTTATCATTTTCTAAAAATTTGGAGGCCCTCTATAGTCTATGCCCTATACTCTATAGTATATACTTAATACGCAATACTAATATGTCGTATATTTAAATTTATATTTTTTAACTTCGGTTTTATTTAGCATTAATAAATAATAAAGATTAGATAAAGTCACAAGTATTTCACCGTTTGTAACTTTAAAACAGTTCACATCAAATCGATAGCAATCGAACCAGTATAAAAATTAAAATGGATTGAACATCTCAGTATTACTATGTAAAAATGATATGTATTAATAATTAATTCATTAAATTATATTATATATACCTAATTAATTATACACTATATGTTTTATACTATAAACATAGAGTATAGTCTGTTTTATTACTCACAGTGCTATATTTTTCATGAAGGCGTTTAAAAATAAATATATATTTCAAATATTTTTGCAGCACCCTAAATTTAATCTCGCAGTACCCTAGGGTGCCGTGGCACCCTAGTTAAGAACCTCTATATTAGACAATTGTTTTTATACACCTATTGCTGTAGCGTTGGACACATTTTAAAAGATAGTTTAAATGATTAAATTCTTTCCAGCAATTTCTGCTCAGATTAATTGAAAACGCTATTAGTTTTGAATGAAAGTATAACGAAAAGTAGCTGTTTTTTTAAAGTTATTTTTACTAACCGAACATAGTGAAATAAATATAATTTTAAATAAAAATTTTAATTTGACAACTTAATATGAAGTTCTTTTTTAACTGAATTTCATAATTTCAGTAAGAATTCGAATAACTATTTAGTTCAAAATTTATAAAATAACCTTATATTGAATGGGAATAATCACTTAAAAGATTTTTAGCAAATTCACCACCAAACTCTAATCCGTTTTCAAAGTAATATTTGTATACATGAATATTTGTAAAATACCCATGGCATGATTATAGTATGACAAGTAAAAAATGAAAGATATAATTATTTACATTTTATCATACAATTATATACTAATATCTTTATAGTGTTTTACTACTTACATAAAAATAATAATTGTATTATAAAATATTGAACTTATTATAATTTTATTCATAATGAAATCTTTGATAAGTTGAAAAAAATAATAAAAATAAATAGTACTTTAATTTACCTTATATTGATGACATATCAGCTGCCCATGAATATTGGTTGTAATAGCCAATTCAAAAAGTATAAATATGAAAATAATTACTAAAAAAAATGTTTAAAAATGATAGAAAGAATATTTAAAACCATAAATATAATACATTATATAAGTAGTAATAGCACCATTAAATTACATTCATTATAAATAATCAAATGAAATATACTGATACATTTTATATATATTAATACGATTAAAACCAAACTCACAATAAATTTAATAAATTCAATAAATACCACAACAAAAACTTAAATGATTATAAAATATAATTAAAATACTTATTATGGAGTAATATATAGGCAATTCATTTTACTTGATTGTAAATAGTAATGCATGAATATTTCTACAACTTTTTTTTTTTTTTAACATGAAGATGAAATTATTAAATAGTACACTTGTTAATAAAGAATTATTTTATAAGGTATAATCAACCGATTGATATTCAATAATTGAAATTTTTTTGTTTTCTTACCTTTTTTTTAAAATTATTGATAAAATAATTTTAATTTGACAACAAGTCTTGAAAATTAAATACAATGTTGTTTTTACATTATATTATTGGCGAAAGAAAAATAAATTAAGCTTAATACTGAAAAAAAAG